TTTCAGTCAGATTTAAATGCACGTAGCTTACACCTATATTCACTGTTAGATGTTGCACTAGAGATAACACATTTAACTTTTTTTCGTTTCTGGGACACTTTTACAGTATTTTTGACTGGTATAACATCTGATTCTTCTGAGTCAGGACAGATTCCTTTTCCTGGTGGAACATTTAGTTTTTTTTTGCGCTTTAACATTGAAGGTCCAAGGTCTGCACGATTGTCATTCAAATGACTGATAAATGCTTTAGAAATAAGACTTAGATCAGCAGATGATCGATCCTGCAGTGGTAGGCGATTAATAAGAGGTTCTTTATCACAGGGAAAAATTCCACACTTAGCAAAACCTGATATCAAATTTTCACTAGAAGTGTCTTTTATTAATTCCAGCACTTTTTTTAAAAGTGATGGAAAGTGTCCTTTTGGAAGTGTTGTAGATTTTTTACCTACAGGTGATTCTTTCCACAAAGTTAAAACAATTTTCCACTTATTTTTTAGTGGCCTAAAATAGGCAACATCTAGAGGTTGTGTCAAATGCGATGAGTTAGGTGGTAAACAAACAAATACTATGTTATTTTCTTTACACAGTTTTAAAACATTCTGACTAATGTGCGATGACAAATTATCCCCAATAAGAACTTTTTTTCCGGTCTGTTTTTTCAGTATAGGAAGCAGGTGAGCAGTAAACCACTCCTCGAATGTAGCATTATCTAACCATCCATGTTTTGTGCGATTGTACCTAGTTCCATGGGGACCGTTTTCAGTCCATGTGGACCACAGATGTTCTGATTTGTAGACAACATAAGGTGGTATTGTACCTCCAGCAGCATTGCCACAAAACATGACTGAAATATTGGACTTTGATGAGTTTATTACTCTTTCAGGGTATTTACAGCCTCTACGACATATATTTTTTTTTTGCGTCCTGGGTCATCACTTAGGTTTGTTTCATCGTAGTTGTATATATTTTCTGCTGGCACATTTGTAACAACTTGGGCGAGGTTTTCAATATACTCACTTAAGGTTTTTTCATTAATTGCAGCCCGATAGCGTTTTATATTGGCTGCCAAGCGCAAAGTAAGCATAGGATGTCTTTTTAAAAATATTTTACTCCATTCTAGTCCTGGAAAATTATTTCTAAACTGTGGAATAGTTTTATTTTGCGAAGTGAGGTAATCCTTTACAATAAACCTAAAATCCAATTCATCCAAAGGGAATCCAAACTCAGACACTGCCACGATGTGAGCAACAAAAGCTGATTCTTCCGAAGCAGTAAATATTGTAGGATGCCCTGGGTTTTGATTGTGCTTTAGCTTCAGTTTGTTTTGTATGGTATTTCTACATATTTCAAAATGTTTTGATGCTTCTCTCTGGCTCATTCGACCTTCATTAATAGCAGAAAGGCACTGTTGGAGCTTTTTTGGAGAATAGTCCACATATTTTCTGGAGCCTGGTCTTCTAGTATACATTCTTGGCATTTTTATTAGCTAGAATATAAATCAATCAATATTTTACTATTAAAAGAAAATAGTTTACAACATAGTAAAATTAATACAATACTTTTATAAAGAAGAAATGCAAAGAAACCTTTTTGAAGAGACTATGAAAGAGACTTTTGTGAAGAGACTACTTTTATAAAGAAGAAATGCAAAGAAACCTTTTTGAAGAGACTATGAAAAGAGACTTTTGTGAGGGGACAAGTAGTACAAGACTAATTAATATAATAAACAATATAAAAATAACAACAGACAAACAACAACTAAAGAAACAAAAAATAAAATCAATAATATATAAATATTTTATATATAATTTCATAATAATAATAATAATATATCTATTAATAACTTTAATTTATCATATTTGTTATAATAACAATGATAATAATAATAATAATAACAATAGCAATAATAAATAAAATTAAGAAATAAACCATATGATATGTCCATTTAATGTAAATAAAATGATTGGATTTTATTTATGATGTGGTGTTACTTTAAGTCCGGCCTAAAGTAACCCCATTTTTAAATAAAAACTCACTCAAATAAGATAAGTTATTTTTTTCTCAAAACTAAATAAAAAAACAGTAAAAAAAATACTCAAATCTTTTTACCAAAGTGTTAGTCTAACAAACTCAGTGATTTTTTTTTCTGTAGTGTGTACTACAAAAGCAAACCACGTAGAAGTTCTGCACAGTAAATTTTACAAACAAGTTCAGTTACTTTTTGACATCCAATTAACAGATGTATTATTTAGTGTGCGGCAAAGGCAATATGGTTTCTTGACAGTATTTGCCACATATAAATTAAAAAATAGCAAAGAACGCGCCACTTTTAGGACGTTTGAACAGGAGAAGCATGAAACTTAAATTTTCAGTGGTGGAACAAAGTAGGAACTTAAGGCACAAAGTAACCCCGTGTTACGGTATCTCATTCTTCTTTACCATCAGAATCCCCCTATCATTGTACATCTTACAACTACCTTAAAGCTGACTGGGACTCTTTCCGTGATTTTCTTCGTGATGGGCCCTGGGTAGAAATCTTTTGTCTTCCTGTTGACAAATGTGCTTCTTACATAATTTCGTGGATTCAGGCTGGCATTGAATCCTTTATTCCCTCTCGACAATTCCAGGTCAAGCCTCACTCTTCTCCATGGTTTTCCTCACATTGTGCTGCTGCAATTGCTAATCGAAACCATTACTTCCATATCTATCAGCAAAACAATTCTCCAGAAAACAGACATCTGTTTATTACTTCTCGGAACCATTGTAAAAAGGTTTTGTCTAACGCCAAAGCCCGCTATTCTCAGATCATGAAATCTTGTATTTCATCACAAAAATTAGGCTCTCGTGACTTCTGGAGAATCTTCAATAGTATTAATAATAAGGGCAAGTCTGTAATTCCACCTCTTTTGTATGGTTCAGACTTTGTCACCTCACCTAAAGACAAAGCTGAATTGTTTGCCAAGAACTTATCAATATCATCTCTTGATCTCACTAATTGCGTTCTACCTGATATAGCCGTCAAACAGGTTGATCCACTGCTCGACATTCGTATCACTCCAGCTTCTGTATTTAAAGTGATTTTCTGCTTAGACTCTTCTACAGCTTGCGGCCCGGACAACATACCTGTTATAGTCTTGCAGAAGTGTTCTCCGGAGCTGTCATCCATCCTTTCAAAACTATTTAACAAGTGCTTATCAGAGTCTTGTTTTCCAGCCTGCTGGAAAGTAGCATCTGTTATCCTTATTTTTAAAAATTCTGGAGAGCGATCTGATTTGTCTCACTACCGTCCCATTAGTCTTCTTCCTATCATAAGCAAGGTTTTTGAATCTTTAGTTAACAAACACTTAATCTCGAATCTCGAATCTCATTACCTATTTTCTAATCATCAATATGGATTTCGATCTTCTCGTTCTACAGCTGATTTGCTAACAGTAATAACCGATAGGTTTTATCGCGCATTAAATAAAGGTGGAGAGGTTAAGGCCATCACTCTTGACATTTCTAAGGCGTTTGATAAAGTTTGGCATGCTGGTCTTCTCCATAAGCTTTCTTCTTACGGTGTATCTGCAAACATCTTTAAGATTATTGAATTCTTCCTTTCCAATCGTAGTATAAATGTTGTCCTTTATTTACAGCACTCTTCTTCTTATTCTGTAACCTTAGGGGTTCCTCAAGCTTCAATCCTTGGCCCTATACTCGTTTTAATTTACGTTAACAATCTTCCAGATATTCTCACATCTAAGGTGGCATTGTTTGCTGATGATACTACCATTTATTCTTGTCACGATAAGAAGCCAACTCCCTCTGATTACTTGCAGGGGGCATCTGAGCTCGAAAAAGATCTTACTTCTGCTACAGCATGGGGCTCACAGTGGCTGGTGAACTTTAATTCAGATAAAACTCAATTTTTTTCAGCCAATTGTTATCGCAATAATTTAGACCTTCCTATATTTATGAACGGTAATGTGCTAGATGAGTCTCCTACCCTTCATCTTCTAGGATTAACTCTTACTTCTGATCTTTCTTGGAAACCTTATGTCAAATCCATTGCAAGATTAGCGTCTGCTAAAGTCGCTTCTCTTTATCGAGCTCGTCACTTTCTTACTCTTAATTCTATTCTCTATCTCTATAAATCTCAAATCTGGCCTTGTTTGGAATACTGTTGCCATATCTGGGGTGGATCTTCTAATGATGCCCTTTCTCTTTTAGACAAGGTGCAAAAACGCATTGTAAACATAGTTGGACCTACTCTTGCAGCCAACCTTCAACCTCTGTCACATCGTCGTAATGTTGCTTCTCTTTTTCTTTTCTACAAATACTATAATGGGCACTGCTCTAAAGAGCTAGCGTCTCTTGTGCCACCTACAAAAATTCATTCTCGTGTTACTTGTCATTCAAATAAGTCTCATCCTTTTACTGTTACTGTTCCTAAGTGCTCCAAAAACTCTTATTCGTCTAGTTTTTTTCCTCGAACATCAGTTCTTTGGAATTCGCTTCCTTCATCTTGCTTTCCTGATTTATATAATTTGCAATCTTTTAAGTCGTCTGTCAATTGTTATCTTGGTCTACAATCTTCATCTTTTCTCTTCCAGTAACTTCCAACACTAATTAGTGGTTGCTTGCAGCCTTGTTGGAAGCGAAGTTGTTAAAATATATATATATATATATATATATATATATATATATATATATATATATATATATATATATAAATGTAAGAATGAATTAATTTGGGCCCTTGAATAGCTCCTATATATATATATATATATATATATATATATATATATATATATATATATATATATATATATATATATATATATATATATATATATATATATACACATATATATATATATATATATATATACATATATATATATATATATATATATATATATATATATATATATATATATATATATATGTATATATATATATATATATATATATATATATATATATATATATATATTATGCTCTTTTGTTTGTTTGTTTAGGTAGCCTTGGGCAACTTGGTGCAGGTATTGCAAAAAAACTTAGGTTTGAGTTAATTTTCATTCATTTGCTTCAAAGACTTTTTTCTTACTTTTTTGCCTTTTTATCTCTAATAAAAAACTTCTCTTTACTTTTTGATTATTTTTATTATTCAATTAAAGTTTTAATTATTTGCCGCTAAGTTAAAAAAATTAATTTGAATCAAAGCAAAATATATTGTATTACAATTATTAATAAAAAATTTAAATTTTAATAACAATAAAGTTTTATATTTTATAAGTAGTTTCAGCAACTGAAAAATGAAGGTTGTTGAATTAGTAAATGAATTAGTAAATATCTTTAACATTGTATGTTAAGGATATTTATTAAATGCTTAGTGTAAATCATATGGCATAAATATGGTTATGGCATGGCATAAATTAGGTGATTTTTGAGTTTGCGCAGCAGAAATGGCAATAAAATTCAAACAGGCAAATGTTATTGGTTGTCTGCAATTCATGTGTTTTTTGTAACTTGTTTCATGATACATTTGCATTCTGCTGTAAGATTTTCAGTGCAATGTAAAAGTTATTTTTATTTAAAGTAGAAGATGAAAACAAGTCAAAATATTTAAAGATTTGGTAAAATGTTTCCTGATGCCGCTTTTCTGTTTTTCTCTTTCTTTAAACTTAGTTATTATTGAGCTTTCTTTCTGACATTCCATCCATTTAAGTTGTTAAATTTTTTGACTTAAAAATATTTTTTTGTTAAGTTTTCAATTCATTGAAATTATTTCTCACTTTTTTCATTTGGAAATGATACTGTTCTTTTAATTTTTTTTGCAACTCCAGAAAGTAATCTTATCTTTATTCTAGCTATTTCTAATCAGAAAGTACTTGGATCATTCTAGCTATTGTCTTATCAGAAAGTACTTGGATCATTCTAGCTATTTCTAATCTGAAAGTATTTGGATCATTCTAGCTATTTCTAATCAGAAAGTACTTGGATCATTCTAGCTATTTCTAATCTGAAAGTATTTGGATCATTCTAGCTATTTCTAATCAGAAAGTACTTGGATCATTCTAGCTATTTCTAATCAGAAAGTACTTGGATAATTCTAGCCTTGGATCCTTGGATTTTTTTACAATGTTTAAGTATAAACATTAAATAGACACCATTACACTAATATAAGTGTGAAAAATGTTTCAGTGAAAAAAGTTATGTATTCTCGCTGTACACTCAAAAGATACCATTCAAAAGTTTAACAACACAATGAATTCCTTATTTTTTTGTAATTTGAGTTTTGTGTAAAATAGATGCAATTTTATTTTTTAGTTTTTAAAAGCTAGTGGTCTTTTATTTAAAAGGTTCATTAAAACTATATATAATTGCTTTTTATCAATATATTATTTATTTTTCATTATTGACTTTTTTTTAGAAACTGACAATAGTGCTCCCCTTCACTGAAACCTGTGTTGTAGGCTCTGTTATCATAGAAACCTGTGTTGTAGGCTCTGTTATCATAGAAACCTGTGTTGTAGGCTCTGTTATCATAGAAACCTGTGTTGTAGGCTCTGTTATCATAGAAACCTGTGTTGTAGGCTCTGTTATCATAGAAACCTGTGTTGTAGGCTCTGTTATCATAGAAACCTGTGTTGTAGGCTCTGTTATCATAGAAACCTGTGTTGTAGGCTCTGTTATCATAGCATTAAATCTGATTACAATCTGTTTTATTCAGATCTAAATACAACGAAGAAGTTGGAAAAATATTATGGCTACTGTTGTTTATGTATTATATGGAATGACTTTTAGAAAAAAAATTTTAAGTTATTTTGATTTTTTAATTTCCTATTCGAAAAGTTTTTTATACAAAAAATGGTTTGAGTTATGTAAGTTTCAACTTAACCAGATAATTTTATTAGTTATCAAATAGACAATTTCAAAAGACCAAATAAAACAGTTCCAGATAACATAAGTTTAAGTTAACCGGTGTTTGACTTACTGGGAGTTATTTCATATTATTTATTATTAATATATTATCATATGTATTTAATATTACTGACATATATTATTCATATTCAGAATTATTGACCTGGAATAATTCTATATATGACCTGGAATAATTCTATATATGACCTGGAATAATTCTATATATGACCAGGAATAATTCTATATATGACCTGGAATAGTTCTATTAATGACCTGGAATAATTCTATATATGACCAGGAATAATTCTATATATGACCTGGAATAATTCTATATATGACCGGAATAGTTCTATATATGACCTGGAATAATTCTATATATGACCTGGAATAATTCTGTATATGACCTGGAATAATTCTATATATGACCTGGAATAATTCTGTATATGACCTGGAATAATTCTATATATGACCAGGAATAATTCTATATATGACCAGGAATAATTCTATATATGACCTGGAATAATTCTATATATGACCTGGGATAATTCTATATATGACCTGGAATAATTCTATATATGACCAGGAATAATTCTATATATGACCAGGAATAATTCTATATATGAGTTATGTTAAAAGTTATAGTTATTTTAGTTTTTTCAGCAAAATTTTTAAAAACTAAAATTGTTTTTATACTTGCTACAAGTTAAATCTTCAAAGTAAAATAATTTTTCTAGTTTTTAATTGAAAAACAATTCTGTTAAAAATTTATTGATTTAAGAAGATAAAAGGTTTAAAGTATTTTAGTATATTCAGTTAATATGTTTTACTATCTTTTCTGCAAAAATTCAGTTGTACTGTTTAGCTAATCCTATGATAAAAAAAATCCATTGTAAAAAATACTGAAATTAAAACCAGATGTTTAACTTTCTAACAGATGTTTAACTTTCTTCAATTGTTGATTTTTTAAGTTAACTGAACTATTGCTTTTTTGCAAAAAGTTTAAAAGATCATAATTTCTATTAGTCTATAAAAAAGTTGTAGTCTATAATAAAAATAAGTTTTTTTTTTTTATGGACTAAGAAATTATGATTTGACGGCAAAGGTAATATAGTTTTGTATTTTGATACCAAAATTAAATATGAAAAAAAAAGAGGTTTTTTAATTTCCAATATAAACTTGTATTAAATTATATTTTCTAAATGTTTAGATCAAAACACGGTAATCAGAATGTTGTGATGTCAGATGTTGTGAAAGCACCTGAAAATGTTCTTTCTAGTGGTAAAATTTATACCATTATTTAAGATTTATATTTTCGAAAATAAGTTTTTTATTTTGCACAAATTTTGCTAGCCCATACTTTTTCCTTTTTTTTATTCTACCCTATACTTTTTTCTTTTTTTATACTACCCATTACTTTTTTCTTTTTTTATACAACCCTATACTTTTTTATACTTTTTTTCTTTAGGTCCCTTTTTGTATGCAGATATTTTAGACTACAAAAATCTTCAAGCAATTGTTGTAAACCACCAAATTGACACCATTGTGCATTTAAGTGCACTATTAAGTGCAATTGGAGAACAAAACTTATCTGAAGCTTTAAAAATTAATATATATGGCTTCCATAACATTATAGAAATTTGTCGTAGGTATGGATTAAAGTTATTTTGTCCAAGTACTATTGGAGCCTTTGGTGTTGATAGCCCAAGAAATCCTACTCCAAATATAACTGTACAGAGACCAAGAACAATTTATGGTGTTTCAAAAGTGCACATGGAACTTATGGGAGAGGTTTTTTATTTTTTTATTTTTATTGATTTTTTCTCCATGGAGAGGTTTTTTTATTCATTATTCTAAATTTTAATTTTTATATGATAATAATATTGTTGAAAATATTTGAAATGAAAATATTTAGTATTACTATCACCGATTTGGTTTGGATTTTCGTTCTGCAAGATTTCCTGGTGTAATTTCTGCATTTACTCAACCAGGTGGAGGAACAACAGGTAAAATATTTAAATTTTTTAATGATCTTTAAATAGTTTTTAAAGTTTTTTTTAGTCTAAAAGTTTAAAAATTATTTAATTTACAAATTTTTTCATCTTTTTATATTATATTTGTTGTTTGTATTTTATATATATATATATATATATATATATATATATATATATATATATATATATATATATATATATATATATATATATATATATATATATATATATATATATATATATATATATATATATATATATATGTATATATAAACAATTCAAAATGTATTCTACAAAATGAGTGCTCAATGTTCTTAAAAGAACAGAGCAATTACAAATTAGTAGAAAATCACTTAGCAAAATTTTTTCTCATTTAACACTGTGTTTCATCAATAAAGACTCATCAGAAATGTTTCATCAATAAAGACTCATCATTTCTGATGAGTCTTTATTGATGAAACACAGTGTTAAATGAGAAAAAATTTTGCTAAGTGATTTTCTACTAATTTGTAATTGCTCTGTTCTTTTATTTATATATATATATATATATATATATATATATATATATATATATATATATATATATATATATATATATATATATATATATATATATATATATATATATATTTATTTATTTATTTATTTATATATAGGGGCTATTCTAGATCGTTTTCGACAGTGTCGACTGTATTTGGGCGCCGTCTAAATTAAAATTTGAGGACTTTTTTTTTTACGTTTTTACGACAAAGGTTGTTTTGTTTTTTTGCAAAAATAACGCCAATTTTCCGCAAAAGTCCGCCAAAACTTGGGGCTACTGCCACCAAAATTTTTTTCCTAGAATAGGCCCTGATATATATATATATATATATATATATATATATATATATATATTATATATATATATATATATATATATATATATATATATATATATATATTTATGTATATATATTTTTATGTATATATATTTTTATGTATATATATGTATATATTCAATTTAAAAATAGCATAAAATTTTTAAATCTTAACATGTTTTTTTCAAAAAATCGTTTTTATAATAAAAAAACTCTGGAATAATATTAGAAAAGAAACAGAAGACGTTAAATATACATAATAAAGCAATAAAATAATTTAAATGTGACTCAGTAAATAACCAATAATATATTTCTGGAGTAAATGTAATAATAATAAAAGCAAATGTAATTTATTCCAGGATTTTTTTTATTGTAAAAACAATCTTTTGAAAATGTAATTCAAAATTATGAAACATGTCAAGATTTCAAAATATTGTGTTATTTTTAAAAATATTTTATGCTATTATGGCATTCAAGATATATATTTTTGATTAATGGTATTTTTGATTGATACTAGCGTGTTTTAAATAGATATTAAGTTATCCCAAGGAATAATAAAAGAATCTTACTGCCCCCCTCCTTTACTCTCTTGCTTTATCCTCAAAAATGAATTAGAAGTTTTAATTTAAGTTAAAGCTTCTGAATTGTTAATGTTAGCTGTTTAGATAAAAAATTTTGAGTATAAGGTTTGTATGAAATAAAAATATATATAATTAATATGCATTTGTAGATCACAAGCAAAATACTTTTTTTTTATTAGGCACTGTTTTAAGACTGAAATATAAATTTGCAAATTCAGCAAATTAAGTATCAGCAAGATCGTTAACATTAATAATGTTTTGAAAAAAGTAGATGGGACCTTGAGTTAAACCTTGTGGCACCCTTGATGCACTTATTATATTAAACAGAATGCACTTATGCACAGATGCACTTATTATATTAAACAGAAATAAAAAATAATAATTTGTTAATCAAGGATGACTTTTAACTCAAATTTTCTGGAGAAAAATATGTTATAAATTTGAATTTGAATTATAAAAATAAAAGCTTAAAAAACATGTCAGATTTTGCTAAACATCTTCAATATGTCAACAGTTTTAACCATTTGTTTACATAAATGACATGTACTACTTTTCAGCAGGCAGAAAAAATGATTTATATAACCATCTGTAAGTGATTGTAAATACAAATGATTTATATAACCATAAGTAAATACAAATGAGAAACCTGGTGGTCTGAGATCTGAGAATAATGAGCTTTAGCGTTGAAAAATATCTTTTTGCACCAACTTAATGATAAAAAGATAGAAAGGGAAATATGATAAAGAGTTAGTTTGTGTTTAATTTATGTTCATGGCATGAGTTGTTTGGCTTAAATGCATCAATATTAGTAATTAAATCTTTAATAAGCAAAAAAGTCCTTATGGTTTCTGGAAAAGTATTCAAAGTTTGAAACCCATTAAATAGTTAAAAAATGTGAAAAATTTTTTTTTTTTTTTTTTTACATTTTTTTACTATTTAATGGGTTTCAAACTTTGAATTTAACTATTACATTTCTTTTTTATTTATTTAAACGTAACTATTACATATCTATAATACATTGTATGTTTACTCAGTTTTTTTAAAAAAGATCTTTTACGAAAATTGATTTTTAATATAGGATTCTAAACGGGTTCTAATAATAATCTTTTTTTTATTTTTAGCCCCTGACCCTCTTTCCCTCCCCCCCCCCCCCCCTCCTAGAGGAACAACTTCATTGCAGGGTTTTTTATAAATTAATGAATTTTGCATTATGTCTCAAAATAAGAAATTTGCCTGAAATTTTATATCTCAACCTATAACAACGGCTTATACTTTTTTATATAGACTATGCAGCGCATATATATCACAGTGCTTTAAAAACTGGTTCCTTTGTGTGCAATTTACGTAGTGACACTCGATTACCTATGATGTATCTGCCAGATGTCATAAAGGCGGTTGATTTGATTTTGGCAGCTCCTGAAGAACAGCTTAAAGTTCGGACGTACAATATTAGTAAGTTTTTAACTTATGATTAATACACCTATTACCAAATACACCTATAATACACCGATAATACACTTATTACCAAAGATATACCTGTTAATAATAGTTATCATGTTTTTAGCGGATAGTTATGTATATATAATAAAGCGTGCAATTTGTTACTATAGTTAGCCCTGTTAAATGTTTAAATATATTTGTAAATAAAAGTAATTAATAAATTGATTATTTTCTATTTTACACTTTATATTTATCAACACTTTATTGATATCTTTTAAGCGGCTATGAGTTTTACTCCAGACGAAATAGCTGAATCTATCCGCCATTTTATACCATCTTTTACAATTACATACAATATTGATGAAAGTAGACAAAAAATTGGTAAGAAATTTTTTTAAATTAATTAATTCAGAATATTTCATTGTTATTATTGTTTGTTTATATTTTAGCTGATGGTTGGCCACAACAACTCGATGATTCAGATGCTCGTAACGATTGGAAATGGAAACACGATTTTAATCTTTATGACATGTCGAAAGATATGCTTTCGCTTTTAGGTCCTAAATATGGGAAAAATGTTATCTAATAGTTAGTTTTTACTTTTGGTTGATAGTTAGCTATAAAATAGACAAAACAGAAACAATTTTGATAGTAAACAAATATAAGATTGAAATTATTAATTCAAACCATTTTAATTGAATGTTTCTTTCTCTCCCTCAACTATCAATAGTTGCAAATTAAGTTGTAAGAATAAATCTGTGCTGAACTGTTTTTACTTTTATTATTATTTTGAATAAATATGATAAATTATAAATTATTTCAAAATTTTTGTTTTTTCATTTGTAGAGCATTTAAATTATATTTTTATATTTGCATTTAATCTAGAAATATTGTATTAAAATTTTTGTAGAATTCTTAAATTATTGAAGGTTTTTTCTGTTTTGTATGTAAGATATATATCGTGTGATATAAAAGTACGTTTAATTTTTTTTTTTTATTTAAATCAGTTAAAAAATATACCCGAGAGTGGTCTTAACACCTACCGTGAATAGCGAAAGTTAAAAAAGTAGGAAAGCATTGGTTATAAAAAAGTTTATTTAAATATTTTTAAGTACTTGTTACCTATCTTAAACATATCTTGTAATGAGACACGATATGTCTAAGATATGCTTATTGTTAACATAAGTCACAGCAGTTTAAGACGATTTAAAGGCAACTTTCGTTAAAAGGAAAGAGACTAAATTTTGAGGACACAATTGTCTTCGGGTACTCACCTTACAATGGCTATAGCTGGTGTAGATAAGTGTGGTACATTTTGAAATTATTTTTGAAATTTAAATCGGGGTTTTTACCAGTGATAATACTTGATCTAAAAACGGTAAATACCAAAAATTTAGGACGATTTTTAGATCCCCCACAAAACGTTAGAAGTTATAATAACAGATTGCGCGAGTGTTGCACAACGTTTTATCCACTAATTGTTATTGTTACTTAGTGGGATTTACACAATTTAACTATTAATCATTAAAAAATAATTATACATAGTTTTATTAATTTGCAACTATTTCCATATCCTACATATCCGTACATATCCTACAAAAGATTTATTCAAATATCAATAAAGATAAATAACATTACTGAAATGTTTTTTTTTTTGTTTGTTTGTTGAAAATTCAAGTCAATTGATTTCTTTGGGTAATATGCTCCTTTAAAGCTGTTTTAATGCTTTTCCACAGCTTGAGCAAGTTGTTCTCTCTTTACTCAAAACATTTATCTTTGATGTCTCCTATAATCTTGATATCTCGCTTTGCAATATCATTGACACAAGAAAGGTTGCATACAAATTTTTTCGCAGCGTTAAAGTCCTCGAATTTGTTCCAATGCTCTGATGGAACTTTTAGCTATTCTTGAGGTCTGTTTAATTTTAACAGATGAAAAAGCAATCATGATTTTTCGCCAATGAAAGACGATAAAAAAGGTTTCTTTTCGTCGCCCCAAATAATTATCGGAGGCTTCGGTTTATATGAAGTGAATACTTCAGGCCTTGATAAGTTTTTAAGTTTCTGATCCATTTCAGTCTTTTCTGCATAACTAACAAAGTCATCACGAGCTTCTCAGATAAGTATCCTAAATATCGTTCAAATGACGTGATGGTTTCTTTTGCACTTTCCAGGTCAATTAATTTAAATTTTCTCATTAAATAAAATAAATGCAGGTCATTAGCTGGAGCAGTAGCTGTAATAGCAGATTGAAAAAAGTATTTTCTGTAAAAAAGGTAAATGTACTCAGCCATCCTCTAAACTGTTTTGCTTCCTCATCATTAAGTTCAAAAGTGCGAGATAGTAGGAATATTTTTGTATAACAAATGGCTTTCAACATCCACCTTGCATAATGATCAGAGCCGGCGTACCGAATGTGGAAACCTCTTTTAATGTATACAACAAAATAAAATAGAATAAGCTCCACTAGTTCTTGATAGTCCTCACGTGGAAATATTTTTCTTTCCAAACATTCCATTGCCCATTTCTTTACTTCAAGTGCTTGTTGAAATAAAAAACTATTTTGATCATTGGTGGCCAGTCCCACATTCTAAGTTCTTTTATATTCTTGTTAAGGTTATGAAATTCCTTGAACCTTTCAAACAGCTGAACTCTTGGTGATTTGTTCGGACTACAAATAGCATTGGATGTTGATTTTATAAAGAGCTCTGGAATATGATGCCTGCATTCAAGTCAGAGTAAAGAACGACCAGTTTGCTTCTTATCTGGGATCATTTTCTCTCTCAAAAAGATACTTTTGCAATATAGCTCTACTCAATGGAAGGTTTCCTCCTTTAAACCTTTCTAAGGAAAAAACCAATGGTTTAAACGAGAAGAACGTCTTCTTTTTTTAGCGTCAATATTTTTGTTTATAGCAGTAGCTGGAAAATGTATTGAGTCAAACTTTTTTTTCCTGATCTGAGTACTGTCTCTTCTACTTCAATAAATAAATAAATAAATACATTTCCCAAACCTTTACTAGGTCTACCAACTTTCTTTGGTATGGGTGCCATTCCCATGGTTTAATACAAGACTGAAGTTTGTAATATAAACACTGTAAGTAACTATGTTTAAATATATACTTTGCAATATTAAAATAATATAGAAAGGTTCATTAAAAAATTTGTAAATTAAACTTATTAACGTTACGGCATGTTTTTTTGAGAACTATTATTGCCTCAAAAGAGTTAAGAACTTAAGACTTAATGGCTCCCTTAAATGAAATTTCACAATATTCAATTTATTTATTTGCCTCAAGAGAATTAATGACTAAAGACTTAATGGCTTCCTTAAATGCAATTTCACAATATTAAATTTATTTTGGAGCGAAAGTATCTAGATTATAATGTTTGAAAGGTTTTGGAATAACTGAATTAAGTTACGCAGCATCTTGGGTGTTTTAAAACATATCTCTTTTGGGATAAGTACAATTAGTCGTAAATTATTAAATTTTTGTAGAATTACTCCTTAGTGATCAACAAATAAATTGTGTAAACCCCACTAAGAAACAATCACAGTTAGTGCGTAAAAACGTTGCGTAACGCTTGCGCAATCCATTATTTGAACTTCCAATGATTTGTGGGGGATCTAAAAATTGTTCTAAATAGTATTTAGTGTTTTTAGATCAAATGTCGTGACTGATAAAAACCATAGTTAAAATTAAAAAAAAAAAAGGTGTAAAGAGTAGATCGGCTCTCAGCATCGACAATTCTATTTGACTACTCATATGTTATAAATGTTAACTAATCTCAGATTTTAATAAATGATAATTCAGATGTTAAGGGATTTTAGGGTCAAGAATTTCATTTTTTAGGTTGAAAAATAAATTTAACCAATCTAGCTAGCAGGTTACGGGCTGCGGCGGCAGCAAGGACCTTTTCATGTTTCAGATATGGATTTCTTTAAGAATTTTTGATGTTTTGTTATGTGGTATAAAATGTTTCGTCAAAAATTACAAATTGAAACCTGGGAACAGGAATACCGATCACGGTGGTTAATATGCTATGTATTTTTTCTTATCCACAGTGGGCCACTGACTGGACAAAAGTATAAAAATCAAAGTCAGAATTTTGATGTCGTAATGGTTTTAAACCTTTTTATAGATATTATGAAACAATTTAAAACCTTTTATATACATCTAAAATTGTAATGAATAGACTAATTATGTGGTTAAAGTATATGCAAACATAAATCAGAAAAAAATATTATAAAGCAAAAAATGTTGTTTACAAAATCGATGGTAATAATGTAACACTGTATTAAATGTAAAATAAAAAAATTGTAACCCCCTCAATTCGAGGGGGTTACAATTTTTATATGGTCATAATTTTTGAGCGCTAAAATATTTTACTATGAAATTTAAAATTTATTGATAAATATAAGTCTTGTTAAGAATAGTGCAAAAAATATTTTATCAACTTGTTGCTCTCACGTTTGGGGCAGGAACGTCTCAAATTTTGGGGCTTTTTTGTTCCCAGGCTCCAATCATCGCAATTTTTTGCAAACCATCCTTATTTGACATAAGTATAAACATATAAATGTTTGGAGTTAGCTATATGTCTGGAAGTTAGCTATCTCAAACACTAAAAAATGCTGGATCCACCCCTGATATTCTATATAAAATATAACATCGCGAACAAAATAATACAATATGTTATATTGGATAAATCAATAAAAACCCCTATTGTATAGCAATTACTATTAAATCCATTTGATATATGCTTAACCAATTCAATTATTGCATGGTCAGTAGAATGATTTTTTTTTAAACCGTATTGATTATTATATAAAATCTTATTTTCAGATAGATATTTATAAAGTCTGTTGTACATAATGCGTTCAATTAGTTTAGAAAAGCAGGGTAAGACTGAGATTGGTCTGTAGTTTGAAATATTGGTCTCATCGCCAGATTTGAAAATAGATTTCATCCGAAACCTTAAAATTAAAGGTATTTAAAGATACTAATATTTTTCTACAAACAAATAAATATCAAAAGCATAAACTAAAGTTTTCATATTATGAATTCAGATTGTTTTGAAAATCACGTAAACTGTAACAATAAAAAATCTTATAATGACTTAAGTGAAAATAGAGTAATTTCTTTAATAGGTAAACCAACAAAGGTAATTACTTATTCAGCCTCGCTAATAGATATTACTATAACAACCGATATCTTTAATAAATTGCCTAAAAATGGAATAACTGCAAGTAACAAATCTGATCATTTTCCTAACTTTTTTTCTTGATAAATTATAACACAAAATAGTTTCAATAAAACAGGAAATTAAAGGATTGTAGTTATTATCATCAAAATTCAGTTCTCCCAGTTTTTTCAAATTTTAAAAAGATTTTTGTATAATAGAATATATAATAACTTAAGCATAAATACCACATGGTATTTCTAGTTGTATATTGTGTAATAATTAAAATGAATTTAATAAAGCACGCGAAATGAAACACTTTTACTAACTTGAAGCGCTATTTATCTGAAACACAGTACACATCGGTGTACTAAATAGGATTTAATACATTAAACAGACCAAATATCTTAGATATTATAGATCATGAAATTCTTTATAAAAAGTTTAAACATTATGGCAACTATGTAAGTATAATTAATTGCTAAAAAAAAGGAAGTATCATATTACTACTAAATTGGAAACAATTAATACATATTATGGCTTTTAGTTTTTATAATTTATATTGATGACCTCAAAAAGTTACCAATTTAATGACAATAAACTTACAATATTTTTTTAAACTGATAATAATCTTACAACATTTATCAATGTTTAATTAAAATTAGAATTTATTAAGATTTCTAAATGATTTTTAACAAACAAACTATAAATTGATGTCAAAAAAATTAACTCAGTTCTACTTAGCGTCAAAAGAAAAATAACCTTTTTCTAAATAATATTTATATTTAAAAAATCCATTTATAACAAATTTTAGTTTTTATGTATAGAAGCTAGGAATGTCACCAAAAATAATTGAGCCCTACTTTAGCGAAACCTGCAATTTACAAGATCCTCAGAAACCAACTTGTTGTTCCAAAATATAGTTTAAAATTGAGTTCATACTCAATTAAGTATTGTGGGCCAAACTATAGAAAATACTTTCATAATTTGCTAATACAAAGATAACATTACATCAATTTAAAAAAACCTAAACGGTTCTTTTTACTTATGGATTACATTATGCTAGATTTCAAATGTTTTTTTTAAATAAGTGAAGATCAAATAAAAAATAGATAATTTTAAAGAGTTATGTTATTATTCAAACCCATATTTCTTTCCATGGTAACTTATGTTACCATGGAAATTTCAAGGTAATTTTTTCATAGTAAAACTAAAATCTGCTGATAGTTTTTTTATAATTAAATCTAGTGATCGATTACATTCAAAATTGAAAAACTGACATACCCAGATAAAATTATTTTAGTGGATTTGCATTCGACCTATAAAGGCGGTTCGTTGGAGTTTTGCTCATCAGTTACTTAGTGGACCATCAGAAGCAACCGTTATAAATGGCAAGCCGATATCATGCCTGGCAAACTGAGTCGGAAGAGCCTGAGACTCTTCTCTGTTCTTAGGACACCTAAATAAATTTAAAAAAAGCATTCCGACATGTAAATTGTTGGTAGTCATCGGCCACTTTTGGTGGTTGCCACTTAAGTTCAACTAAGTAACCGATGAGCTACAGTGGTCCGCTCAAAATTCCGCTATAGGACGTTTGCTAGGTAGCAAGCGTTTATTTCAAAGATATTTTGCTTAATGAAAACAAAAAAAAACCTTTTATTAAAAGTACTTTACGTTCAATAAACAGAGCAAGGTTTTTAATATTATAATCTTTTGATACTATTATAAATATGATATATCATTAAAAAATAAACTTTATGAAATATTCATAAGAAATGCATTTATAACATAACTGTTCACAGTCTTGATTAAACATAAAAGAATGCATAATAAAATGATAAAAAAATTTATGTATAATTTACATTGAATACATAAATTTATATTTATATATATATATATATATATATACACAATTGAACATTTTTCAAAATAAATAAATGCTATAAAATTGGTTCATGACTAGATTTTCTATATAAACTTTATTAGAATTTGTTTTGTTCTCATAATTTTACGATGTTTAAGACTTTTAGTTGAAAATTATTTTGGTTTGCATTAATCTTCGATATTTGAGTTTTTCAACTTTCGCTCGGTTCTATCAGCTCTTTTTTGACATTAATTTGAAATTATAATTATAAATACCTAAACCTCCGACATTAGTTCTCCTAAAATAAAGTTTAAAAATTAAATAAACATTTATATAATAATTAAATAATTAAAGGAACAATTTTTACAAAAAAAGTAAGTAAAGTCATTAAAAAATTTACCGTTTCTCGCAGAGTAGCAGAAGCGACAATGCAATCTTGAGTCCACTACACGAACACGAACAATATGTTTATCATTTAAATATGCACGACAAACGACACAAAAAAAACATTTGACGTGCCAATTATAATTGTACCCATCAATGTTTATCAATCGTTCATCTAATATAGACCTTGAGCAAGAAGTGCATTTAATGCGTAAATTATTTCCAGTCTTTTTTGGTCCAGCGTTAAAAGTTGGTGATTTAAGAACAGTATCATGATCCGAAAAATAACCTCGATTGTCAACCGCATTATCACGTCGATAATCATTGAAAACTTCGTCGTCATCTGAAAAGCAGTTACCGCTTCGGACTCGTCTGTTTTGTCTAATAGAGGTTGATCGCTGGTAAACCGGTTTATTATTTGTAGAAAAATGTACGGATGATCTTCCTTTAGTATTTCGCCCATTTATTGAGTTGTTAGAAAGAATAGAAGAATGATTCAGTTGGTCATATCTTTTTTCATCATTCCGAGAAATGTTTTCGATTGGAGCTTGCAAAATATGTTTCCGTTGAGCCCTTAAAAACATAAGTCTATCAACTTCTTTTTCAATTCTTTCTTCTTCTATTTCTCTTTCGCTTTCAGACATTAAAAAACCATTAACTTTACCATTTATACTAATTGTTTGCGTTCTAGTAGGTTGCAATGGAGGTTTACGAACATTATTAACTTTATCACGTGATTCTACCCATTTTTTTAATTCTTGCTGTTTTTGCCAAAATCTTTCCTCCTCTTTTAAAAGTTCAATTATTTCTGGCGAAACACCTAAGATTTCTTGTATATCGTCTTGTGTGCGATTGTTTCTTAACTTTCCGTTAAACTTTGTGTCGTGTTCGTTTAAAAAAACATTTTTATCAGGAGATTGAGATGCTTCACTTTCTTTTGATCTTAAATAAACTCGGTGTCGTCCGTCGGCTGTATCCCATGTATATTCAGGTTCTTTAATATGAATTGAGTTATTTCTTTTTAAAGAGGCGTCTTTAGGCGGGTTCAAGTACTTTGGTGGTTTTAACTTTGATTTTGCGGCAACTAAGTTAGAGTTCGTTATTCCGCTATCATCCTGAATTGTTGTACTAACGTCTTGAGGATTTAAATATAATCTATTGTCATTTTGGTTGTTAATTGCAGTCATTTTACTATAATTTTTATCGGAAATTGTTTCGTAAATTTCACGTTTAGCTGTTTCGTCAGCATGTAAACTTTTTTCATGTTTAAGAGTTTTTTTCTTATTTGTTTGGTTAGGTTTTCGATCCGATTTCCGAGACCTGTGTGGTTCTGAATATAAACTTCTGTCGAAGTTTGGAGTATCAATGGTTTCGTAATGATTAATATTTTCAAACGCGTTTTCATTGACTTTTTCTTTTTTTTTATTTACATTTTTATCGGTATTCTTGTGTTTCTTCTTATTTTCGTCTTTTTCTTTTTTATGTTTCTCATCTTTTAAACGAGCTGGCATACTCCTAAGTGTATACTCATCAGAAGATGTGTATTCTTCGTTTGCAGAACACTCTGATTCACTACTTAAAACCACTGGTATAGTTATAGTTTCAAAAAAAAAATCCAAACTTTTTTCAGTTAATAAATTATCTAAATCTCTACCACTATACGCATTTCCAATTGTCAACAAATCATTTATTACGTTCTTTAATTCTGTTGTTAATTGCTCATTGCTCTGAATTTCATTCACACTTGATTGAGTCCGATTAATATCTAAAAGAAAAAAACACAATGACTATAGTGAATAAGCAATATAAACACGTAAAGACTGTAATTACAACTTATTAGAGCAAAGCATTTATCCAGAACTTTTTAAACTAAAAAAAATATATAGTAAAGTTTTAATTTAAGATACTTAAAAAATAAAAAATGTTATTGTGTATTTATGTTATTCCTTATACACAAAAAGAATAACCTAAGCACACTATATTTTGTTGAATCGTGATATCATATCATGTTATGTAATTTATATCAATAAATATAATATGAAGTCATATATACATTAAAACTATAAAAACGAAATAAAACAAAAACGAAATAAATAAACGAATAAAAAACTTAGATTTAAAACATGCAGGGCTTTTATATTTTGCGGCTTTTTGCTTCTGAGTTTTTTTTAAGTTCAAACTCTTTTTACTGTGTTTCAAAAATGAATTATATTAATCTAGGATGACTTTTTGAAAGATAATCCTTGCTGTTTAGTAAATACCGCGCGGTTATTTTAGTAAATTTTTATTGTGTGTTTTTAATAAAAAAGCAACTATATAAAATTTGTTTACATTTATTTTTTAAGTTTTTCTAAAAATAATTATAACAAATGAAAATAATTTATTAAAAACAAATAATTATATACAAATAAATAAATATGTATATATATATATATATATATATATATATATATATATATATATATATATATATATATATATATATATATATATATATATATATATATATATATATATATATATATATATATATATATATATATATATATATATATATATATAGTGGCGGATTAAGACTTCTTGGGGCCTATGGCTATTTTTGTTTTTGGAGGCCCTTTTATGGGCCAGATCCTAAAAATGACTAAAAAAAGAAAAAAAAAAGGTTCTCTAAAATTATTGGGGGCCCCAAAATTTACGTGGCTTGGGGCTATTGCCCCCTAGCCCCCTCAGTCCGGCACTGTATACATACATAATAAAACTTGGTTTATCCTATTATGTAATTTATAAGCAAATATTCAGCAACAAGGTATAACTTTAAATTTATTATAATGACGCGTTTTATAATATTTTAATCTAGTTATATCTGCAAAAAATTAAACAACGTAAACCACTTATTACGTAAGACTAAACCAATTAAAATATAATTTTTTAATTATAAGAAACTTTATTACATACACCACAATATTAAAACTACTTTATAACTCATTATAATTTTGTAAATAAACTATGTGTCAATTTTCTGTATCATATTTACAAGGTTAAAACCTTTTACCTGGTTAAAATTTTTTTTTATCTAATTAAAATCTTTTACGTGTCAAAATCTCAAGCAAAATGTTAAATCAAATGATAAAAAACAAACAAAATGTAACAAATATAATAAAGTTTAAAATTTGTAAAATTTCAATATTTCAGTATTTAAAAAAATAGGAAAATTTTATTGAAATTTTAAAATGTTTTAAAATAACATGTAGTGCTTATTATTAACAAGAATAGTAAGTTACTTGCTAAAAGGAGTGTCTGCAGGTTTAAACAGACATCACGGTTACATACGTTATCAAAATATCACGTGTCCCTGATATGATGAAATCTAGATGAACTATATCGCTTATTAAAGGCTGTAGATATGTCATTTTAGGAATAGCGGTTAAATTAAATGACTGGAACCAGTTTTTCTAGTATTTTTGTTTTTATTCATAATTATAATTACAATTATATTCTTCACCAAATTGAAAAAGTTATAACTTTAAAGTTCAAGAAACAAGTTAGAAAATCAAAGAAAACTTATTCTCGTGATAAACATTTATTCTCGTGAATAACTTTTTTTCTCGTGAATAATATTTATAAACTTGTGAATAACCGCTATTTTCGACTTGTTCGATTCTTTTGTTGTTTTGACATTAAAAACTTTTAAAAATCCAGATTCTGATTTTTGTTGTATTGACATTACTATTAAAATCCAAAAAATATTTTAAGATTTCTGATGAATTTTTTTACGAAGCTCTACATCAGCTGCAACCGATGTATCTCCTGGTATTGTGGTTTAACCTCCTCCAGCTAATTTACCAGGGTCCGAAAAGACTAGTTGAGCTCCTGAGGAAGTGTCATACCCGCTCTATGGACCGAGAGTAAGGTGAGTTTGGGAAGAACGAAGATATGTTAGAGTGAAAGATAGAAGTAGTCGGGTTAGAAAGATAGCATAGAGTAAGCAGACAGGATTGCACACGATGTTGGAGGGTGCAATACATACTGTTAGTTAGGTCACCTAACTAATGTACGCGGACAAAGTTATGATTGGAGTTCACATTACATGAACTTTTCCTCAACTTTCTTTGTCGTACCGATGTATTTTCTCGGAATGTTTTAATGCAGCGACTATTTTTAAAAAGTTTATTTGCGATCTGTGTTTCTTGAGGTGATAATATTAAAAGATTATATGTGTTCTATGTAACTTGATTAAGTGTCAAGTTAAAAAGCATTTAAAAAAATCAGACTTTGGCTTTTATTTAACGGATTTTTCTTTTAACTAAATTAAGTGAAATTTAAACAGCTAAATTTTATATTAAAATTTTGCATGCAAATAAAATATATATAAAATTTATATAAATTTTTGCATTTTATATTGAATTTTGCAAGCAAATAAATTAAATAGTTTCTATAACTTGCACCTAATTACTTTTGATCATAATATCAAATTTTGTTGGAATGACCTAATGATAATATAATAAATGAATTTGGTTGGAATGATCTAATGATAATATAATAAATGAATTTGGTTGGAATGATCTAATGGTAATATAATAAATAAATTTGGTTGGAATGATCTAATGATAATATAATAAATGAATTTGGTTAGAATGATCTAATGATAATATAATAAATGAATTTGGTTAGAATGATCTAATGATAATATAATAAATGAAATTGGTTGGAGTGATCTAATGATAATATAATAAATGAATTTGGTTGGAATAATCTAATGATAATATAATAAATGAATTTGGTTGGAATGATCTAATGATAATATAATAAATAAATTTGGTTGGAATGATCTAATGATAATATAATAAATAAATTTGGTTGGAATGATCTAATGATAATATAATAAATTTGTCCCTTTGATACAAAAGACAAGAATACTTTGGTACAATAGAATCACGTTAACTCAGACCCTGGATAGGTCGGATTTTTACTAAGTCGGACAAATTTTCAATTCCCCTTGAATTCTCTATACATATCAAAAGCTTCGTTTAACTCGGACATCCGCTAAGTCGGTAAAATATATATACCCATTCAGAGTCCGAGTTAACGGAATTCTACTGTAGTAAAAATCACGTTATTTTTTTAAAATTCAAGTTTGCAAAATGTCGTAAATAACTTTAAGCCCATAATAGGGATTTTTATTAACCAAAAATGTTGAATATTGTAAGGTATTCATGTTCAGCACATTTGAAACTTACGTCAGAAAGCAAACTTCTAAACAAAATGTTAAAACAAAAAAGTATTACATAATATCAATCTGTATTCGTTATTTTAAATCTGATTAAAATAATTATGTTCGCTAGAAAAATTGTTTCATACAAAAATATATTGGAATAATTTAATCTTTTAAATAAAGAATTATATGCGCCATTTAAAATCTTTTCCATCTATATGTATATTTTTTGTTTATTGTTCTATATATAAAAACTTATAGTTCTGATCAGAACAAAATATCTGTATAGATATTTTGTGTTTATTTTTCTATAATAAAAACTTATAATTCTGATCAGAAAATATACAGGAATAAAAATATCGCAAAAAAAGTTTAAGTAAAACTTTTACTTACGAGAACTATAATGAAGCTATGTTAAAATCTTTTTGTGACGTATTTTTTATTTTCAATTAAAAAAATTTTAATGTTTGTTTAACAAAGGTATATAAAAACAAATCTCTAATTGTTGATAAATATTGACAAAAGAAGCCAATATATATGTATAACATATTGTAAATACTAATATATACGACTATATAAAGTTGATCTTTAATTAAATTAAATTGAAATACTTGGAGAAATGTGGTGCTTTTTTAATGACAGCATTACCGTTTTGTAATTATGTATTTTTCGGTCTTAATAATTTAAATTCTATTAAACATCCACTATACAAGTAAGGTAAATTAAGAGTTTCATACAAGATAAACATAAAATGCTGATCGTATGGGGAGCATGTCTTGCTTAAAAAGATTTATTAAAACCTGAAGAGATAAAAAAATTCGAGCTATTTAATGTAAAAATAAATCAACGGAAATTTTAATAAAAATAACAAAATATACAAAATGTATAAATGAGTAACAACTAACAAAAGTGAATATTTGTCACGCTAGATTTTTATTTTTATTAAAAAATAAACACAAATAATTTACCTGAATAATGATGACTTGCTTGATTTTGAAGAGGTGACATCTTTTCATTATTGAAGAAAGAACATTTGCGTTGCTCATCTCTGTCATTGACATCTTTTTTAGACTTAGTTTTGGGTGAGCTATCTTCATTTTTATTATTAAAAAACTCTGTCAAAAAGATGTTTAAGTTATTCATTTCACTTTCTGTAGCAACACACGTCGAATTGACTATAGAAATCTGTTGATTTTGTGCATTAGAATTTTGGTAGGGTTTTGAAAAAGGTTTTCCGTTTAAATTGCAGCTATTGATGCTTTTTTTTTCAAATTTGTGTTTCTGTTCTTTTTGAACAACTCGTAGAAATGACGACCTGCAAGTAGCACTTGTAAAATATCCTTCGTCTGATGTCATACTGAGTGATTCCGATACTTAAATAAAATTCAATTTTTTCAAACTATTAAAAACTTAATAAATCGTAAATTAAAAAAACTTTTAAAGCAATGAAATTGTTCTTAAAAAAAAAGTTTTTTTTGTTGTTTATATAAGTATTGATTCTTAAAAAATTAAGTATTAACATTTTAATTCTATCTTAGTCAAAACAATGAAATTAAGTTACAAACAAGTTGGTTTTACATTTAAACAACAAATGTATAAATCTCAAACTTTTGTATGTTCATATTTATGCCATACAATAATATTTCTCCTACAGTTGGGCTTATTAGAGTCAAGGAACAAAAATACCCTAAATAGTAGACATCCTCTGCTTATATGTGGGGGAAGATGATTTTTTGAAATATAAAATATAACAACTGAATAAATACTAGAACATTACAAAATAAAAATAATAAATTTTTGAAAATTAAAATGCGTACAATGTAAGTACAACACGTATATTAAGAATATAGAATCCTGTGGAGATCCACATCTATACGAGGATCTTAACTTTTATACAAGGACCTTAACTTTTGTACTAGGCTCCTTATTTTTCATACGAGGACCTTAACTTTTATACGAGGGCCTTAACTTTTATACAAGGACCTTAACTTTTATACTAGGACCTTAACTTTTATACGAGGACCTTAATTTTTATACAAGGACCTTAACTTTTTATACTAGGACCTTAACTTTTATACGAGGATCTTAACTTTTATACAAGGACCTTAACTTTTGTACTAGGACATTAACTTTTATTGTATTTATGTATTTTCTTATGATGTATTATCCCAGCAATCATTTAGTCTAAAAAATACGTCTTAAATATGTCTTTTAGACGTCTTAGACGTTTTTTATACATCTAAAAGACGTCTTTTTTAGACTAAATGTTTGCTGGATATATCTTATAACATTCTAATGTAATTTCTTACATTAATATTCATAAATTATATATTTTTCAAATCAAATCAATAAAATTTTATTTTATTTGCAGGTGACTCCAATCTTTTATGTCCTAATAAAAATATTGAACTTTTTAAAGTAGTAAATGAAAATTAAATCAAGTAAACAAACGACAAGTGTAACAAACTGTCATTAAATTTTCAAAAAACGAAGATTTTCATTTGGAATAAATGTGAATTTTAATTAATAAATTTTTTAATGCAACCTACATATAAACTCAATAAAAAAAAATCTCAAAAAACACGATTTATAGAATTAAGCCACAATATGTATAAAATAAAAATATAAATTTTTTATTGACTTGTAAATTCCTTAAAAAATTTATATTTTTATTTTATACATAGTTACTTTAACTACGGGAGCATCGTATCGGTAAGTACAACACCATGGTAACAACAACATGGGTAGGTACTAATCACACCAAGCTAAGAAACCTGTATAAAAAAAAAACAAACATGCTTTTAGACCCCTATTTGGAGCTGGTAAAGTTGTTCCTTTTAAACTATTTTCAAGGTGCATTAAATATTTTCAAATTTAAGATCCATCTTGTTTTATAGTTATAAAATAAAATATTTTATAGTGTATAAAAAAAAACTTTTTTTCAAAATCTTTAAAATTAAAAAAAAAAAAAAAACTATAAATATGCTACATGATTTTCATTAAATGCTTTGTTGTTACTAAATCGTATTTAAAATGAGTTGTTATTCAATTCAGAATCGCGGACCGTTTTTGTAGAAATATTATTATATAAACGTTATATATAATTTCCTTCGGCTACTCTCTAAATATTGCGAGTAAACATTGAAGTTGAAAAATAAGTTCTGCTTAAATACTCATAGAAAAAAAAAAAAAAAATCAAAATACGTTATGTTTTGACCACAAAGTATACTTTTTTTGATAGACCAATCCCAGTGGGCACCGGACCAAAAAAAGACGTCTTTTTAACGATCAAAAGACGTACAAAACGTTCAAATGACGTACAAAAGGAGTATAAGACCTTTAAAAGACGTCTTTTTTATTTCGTGCCCGTGGGATGTCAGTATTTTTAAAATAATAATTTAAGTTGCTATGTTTTTTCTTTTGAAGTTGTCACGTAACGATTGTTCAATGCTCAATGAGGGGCAAATTTGTCGTTAAAGAAAAGATAGTACTTAAGATAAATTAGGTACTTTGATCACGCAAATTTTGAAACTATGGAGCGCTGTTTAAAAGAAAATCAAATTGTGCTCAAAATGCTCTTCAAAGCTTTAGATTTTATCTATGAGATGTGCTTTTCAAAATATTTTAGAGAAACAGTTAGCTTTTAAAATTTTTGAGGTTTTAACTATAAACGAGATTCTGATGTTAAACATGTAAACGAGCTTTTTATAATGTATAATCTAAAATGTATATATAAACAGTAAATAATAAGTATAAAAAATCTGATTTATAATTGTGATCTAAGCGGCCTTTCATCTGTGCCAAGTGGTTCTGTGTAAAGGACTAACGTGAGGTACAAAAGTTAACTATTGGTTAACGTGGCACACTACAACATACCTGGCCACTATCAATGGAGCAGGAGACAACTTACCACCATTTTTCATATTTAAGGGAAAAAAGATTCCAGATGCATCTAAATTTCCTTTGGGTACAAAAGTACATTGCAGTAAAAGCGGATATATTGATCAAAAGATCTTTATTGACTTTTTACATCATTTTAATGAGTTTCTTACAAAAGTGGATGGGAAAAAAGTATTATTATTTTTGGATGATTAGTTTTTGAAGCAATTGAATAAGCAATAGAGATGAATATTAAAATAGTATGCATTCCACCTCATAGTACACATTGACTTCAACCACTTGACACACATGTTAATAAAGTAATTAAACATATGTGGCCTTGTCTAATTGCTTAGCTGAAAATGATGATAATTCTATGCCTCGTTGCAACTCTCACATTATTTTAAATAAAATATAACCCAATATACTTACAAAAAGAGGATTGATTGTTAATGCGTTTTACCATAGTGGTTTGCATCCCTTAAGAAATACAGTGAATGATTTCAAATAAAAAAACAAAAAAAAAAACAGAGGTGTTTAATAAAACAGCAAATCACCAGGGAAACCCTAATTTATCTATTTTAAGGATTATTGTACCTTTTCCGGAAAAAAAAGCAAACCTACTCACTCTAAACGCCATATTGCTCTTATTACATCACCATAATGTTAAGTTTATAAACGAGCCTCGTGCTAAAAAGGCTCCAATAAAAAATTTGGTCAATGTTAAACAGAAGTGAAATAAATAAAAAAAAATCAGTCAAAACAAAAACAAAGAAGACTTTTTTTAGCTAATTCTGATCACCCAAGTTTATCTAGCGGTTTTAATCTAAAAAATAATACTGGTAAAGACTTTTGCTGTGTTTGTGCAGCTATTTGAGGCATATGAAGGGTGTTTTGGAGTTAATACATATGCAAATTGTGTGCAAAAGACATATAAACATCTTGAAAATTTTTAAATAGTCATACAATTAAAAAGTGATACAATTTTTGTTATTGCTTTAATGTGCTATTTTGTGCGCTAGCGCAATTAGACAGTTTTCATTTATGTTAAAATCATTATTTTATATTTTCTAGAAAAAGTTTAACAATTGATATGTTTTAGAAATTAGGAAACTAACTTTCAGTAATTTTATTTTTTCGTTATCTGAAGGCTACTCAAATAATTCTATCTGTAGCTATTTAGGTCACTAAAAAATAGCGTAAGTATATTCTGCAGCCGTTTTTTAAAACGCCTTAAAAGGATTTTGAAATCGGTGTTGATTTTAAGATCGATGCTCTAGAAGCAAAAATCTGAGTTTTTATATCTTTATATTATAGCATTTTTCAATAACTTTTAATATTCAATAACTTTTGTAGACATCTAAACTAGCATATTTTGTAAAAAAGTCAAAATTTATTTATTTTACATTAAGGCGTTTTGAAAAACGGCCACAGTATTGTTAAATAATCAGTTGTAAAAATGAGTTCTCTAAGCTTTCGTTTAAAAGAAAAATATTTACTTTGACAAATATTTTTTATAAAATATTTTTGATAAATTTGTTGATTCTTAATAAAATTAAATTCAAATGAAATCATCAGTAAAATTTTTTTTTAATATTTTATTCTATGAAAAATGTTTGCGTAAATCAATCCAAAATTAAATAAAACTTGTTTTAAAAAGGAGCTGGTTATCAAATTATCATTCCGTAAAGAGGCTGTTCATAAATTACGTCAACAAATTTTTTGAAATTTTCACTTCACCACTCCCCCTTGTCAACAATTTGTCAGATTTCCAGAGACCACCCTATAAAATTAAGTCAATTTTTGATTATCCCCCATCAAACTCAAAAAAAAAATTGTTGACATCAACTTTAATTGACCTCCCCCCCTCCCCCTTATCAACAATTGTCAAAAAAGTTCAGACCCCCTCCCCCTATTTTGTTGACGTAATTAATGGACAACCTTAAAATGTATTTATTTTTATCTTTTGATGAATATAAATTAAGGAAAGAAATTGTGGATAATTTGGTTTTACATTTAAACATGAAACAAAGAATATTAAAAATATTCAGCTCATATATATTAAAAACTTTCATTTTAAATATTGTAGACCTGGCGTGCTACATGCGTCTTAATAAAGAGGTTTAAGTTTAACACTACCTTAAGCAGCGTTTGAATAGTTTAAGTGAAATGAATAAACGAATGATATAATTGTACTAAAGTACTTTTTTAAACATTTTTATTTTAACTTTATAAAGGCTCTTTCCTGATATTTTTAATTTAGCGTTTATTAATGTTTATGAAATTCATACATTTTTTAACTTTGCAATGACATCGCAAATGGCGGACGCTTTTTTCAAACCGTTGAAAATAACTCTTTAAAAGGAAAAAAGTAAAAAAGAAAAAAAAAAATTATAAATTAAACTAAAAATGAAATCAACAAAAAAGAAGATTAAATAAATCCTTTAAAAGAAGAAAAGAAAAAGAAATATATGAAAGAAAATAAGTAAAAAAAGTAACGAAAACAGAAGTTAAAAAAAAAAACGTTAATGAATGAAATATATAAAAAAAATGACAAAGAATGAAAAAAAACTATTTAAAGAGCGGAACCTCGATCGGCAAATCAAGATTTTTATTTATTTTTACATACATTTTTTTTGTTTTCTTTCATATATTTCTTAGGATTATTTATTTTATTATTTATTTATTTTTCTTCAATTTTTTAGCGTATATAGTTTTACTTATTATTTTTTGTCATTTGATAATTGTTAGTCATTTGTTAGTCATTTGTTAGACATTGTTAGTCATTTGGTCAGGTCAGGTTTATCCTGCTACTGGTAACATGTAACCCAGTACAATCTGCTTCATGTCCTGCTGCCTTGTAGGATATGCCTTTTTAGGCAAAGGCTAAGAGATGCAAACTCTGACATAAAACACCCCCTGCCTTGGGGCTCTTGGTTGAGTAAAGGCTAGAGATGGTGTCTCGATAAAAATACTCATCTTAGGCAGATGTTAAATGCATCCGGCTGTTGTCTTGTAGAAGGCCTCCTAGGCAAAGACTTATGGGGTAAACAGATTCTATCTGTTGACCAGCCTTGCACCCCTTCTTTATCTATTAGACTGGTGCAGATGTATTTTAAATTAATTGTTTCCAGTTTAGGATGTTGAACGCTGGATCTTCTTGACTCAATTCATGGGTTTTGCTTTTGTCTCTGTTTTTATGACTAGGCAACTCATTCTATCATCTCCAAATGAGGGTACAGCTCTAAAACTCAGTTTTATGGTTCTGAGGCCGGCTGGTAGTCAGGTTTCCCGAACTCTGTGGTAGCTCTAAGAGAGGCTGATTCCATCAACAGCTGAAAAATATCAGAGTACTAACAGTGCCATGTTGCGCATGGATGGTGTCCCTGTGTACTTTTGGTGTGCATTGCCAAGGCCACATTGGAGCCCTTTGTTACGGCTTAGGGTTTATAAGTGGAAATGAGGCAATTGCTTGGGCTATAAGACACTGTACTGAGTACTATCTATGTTTTGAGTCAAGTACTTTAACAAATTTAAAAATGAATAAAGTAACAAAAACAATAAAACTCAAAAAACCACAGTCATCACCAAGTTCGCTAATCCTATGGAATGGCCATACGACAAAATAGTGGCAACCTTTATGGGATGAAAAAAGCTGTTGCTGCGGTTTTACACCACGCAACAGATGAGCCAAATTTAGAAAACTGACATCAGTTCTGTCCAAGTAGCTCTGATTCTTGGTGCAGATACCAAAGTGACAAAATCACAGGAGCAAAAACATATAAAGAAAAAGTTAATATTCATAAAGCTGTTTCTGATGTTATTGCTCCAATATTTTCTCACAGAGGTCTTGGTAGTGATGAACTTCTGACAAAATGTTTACACGATGAGACCCAGAATGTCAATGAGTCTTTGAACAATTTGATATGAACACAATTCCAAAAAAGGGTATACATTGGAAATGATGTTTTTAAAACTGCAGTTGCTTATGCTGTTATTGCATACAATGACAGTGCCTAAGGACTACTTCCAGTTTTTAATAAACTGGGAATAGACAATTGGCATTTCACTAAAGAAGGTTTTAGATTATCTGATATTTGTCGTGTCAAACAATCTGAGAAAAAGTCAACCAGCTCAGTAAAACAAAAAAGAAAGAAACTTCTTTCAATTAGAAAAGGTCATAATGATAAAAATGAACTTGAGGAAGGAGAGACAAATGCTAGTGGAGCATTTTTATTTGGTTTTTGAGTTTTATTGTTTCATTTAATTTTATTTAATTTTTCTTTAAGGTTTTTCTTGCCTTTAATTTTTCAAAATTTTTGGGGTCTTTTAACAAAGATAACTTTTGATTGGATAAAGCTACTAAGCTGATTTTTTTTTTGGTGTTACATTGTTCTATTTAGAGTGTTCTGAGCGAAGCACTTTTTAAATTTTTTTAAAAACATAGTTAGCAGTGCTATTTTTGCATAAATATATTTTACTTTTTTAAAAATTTGAAGTTTGACAGTGAACCTGGCGCGTTTAAATTTTTTTTTTTTTCTGTTTGCTCAGAACATAGTATTACTAATAAAGACTGCAATTAGAAAATTAAAAGTGATTCTGATCATTTTTCATTAAGTTATCCTTGTTGGAAGAAACATATAAAAGTAAGGCAAAAATCTGATCCTGACGTGTACAATTGATGACGTCATTATTAAATTTTAATGCAAATAGTGTTAAATATATATTTTTTAACAGTATTTTTCATTACAATAAAGTATATTGAATAATTTTGACTTTTTTTTAAAAAAAAGCGTTTTTACCCTGCTAATACCTTAAGACATCTTTTTGACGGCTTTGCCAAGATGTTTTTAAGTAAGCGCGCTTACTTTAAACGCATATTATTTTATATGTAATACTTAATACTTAGTGCAATACTTAATACGCCTATTATTTTATATGTAAAAATAATTTTTTTTTATATTAAAATATAATGAAGTTATCTTTGCAGCCGTATAGTGCAGTGGTAGCGATCTTGACTCAGCTTAGACACGTGTACCGCAGTTATTTTAATTTCAGAACCGCAGTTATTTTAATTTTCAGTTTTTCATATCGGTTAGGAAGGAGGCGTGAACTTCTTTTTAAATATTTCTCCGCAGTGCTCTGTGACAAGTCGTAAAGAATTCTTAGGGCACCTCAAATAAAACTATTAAAAAAAGATATATATAATAAATCGTTATTTTTAGTTAATAAAAACCCACAAACTAAATTGTATATAAATTATACTGTTTCAATTGATACGACACTGATACAACATCCAAATTAAACGTTCTAATAGTTTTTTTAATTTTGTAATAGTGATTACATTTTGTCTTTTAAATTTGTCCATGTATAAATATTTTTGTTGTATAAAGGACTCGTTTTTTTTGGTGGATTATCTAGTCTGACAGTTATCTTGCATATAATACTGTTTATATATTACTTCGTTATATATATTACTTCGAGTTAGCCAACAAACTGTGGCCTTAGTAGTATGTACTTTTTTAAAAAAGCATGAAGTTTGTAAAAAAAAAGAAGAGTTCGGGCTTTAACAAAATCTTCATAGCTTCCTGCCTAATAAGTGCGCTCAATTTTGTATTCAATAATCTATTATAATTATATATTCATGTAATCTATTATAATGCAAAAAAATTACCTGATTTTGTAGCAGGTGTACTATTTCTTCTTAGTCCATGAAACAATTTACTTCTTTTGTTTCTATCTTTCTTTTTCCACTTGTTGAGTATGTTACGAGTTTTAACTTTGTCCTTATATTTTATATAGGATCGAAATTCGATTGGTTGAGCGGTTATCTCATCTTGATTTTCTGTTAAAAAATTAAATCTTTCTTGTCTTGTTCCAGAAAATTCAGAGTACTAAATAAGATTTTAAAATCAGTGTTATTATATTTTAACATGATTTTCATTTTTATTTTACAACGTTACTGAAAACTTAATATAATTAAAATATAAATATTAGTGTGAAAAATATAAATATTAGTGTGATTTTATAAAGATTAAAAAAGATAAATTAAAGATCAGAAAACCATAAAATAAAATTGCGTTTAAGATTTAAGTTAAAAATTTTTTTAATCTCTCAAGGACCAATTGGTTTTTGGCCAATTGAAGATAAAAAAGCCTAAATTGTTTTACAAATACGAGAAAGAAAATTTTTTGATTAAATAAGCAATTGCCATAATTTTATTTCATTTTCAAATTCATTTTGTTTTTTCCGTTTGTTAAAAATTCAAAGAACTTATCGCGAACATAACTATAAAATTAGAGAATTAGACTTAACAGCTAGTGGCTCTAAAGCAAAGGTTGTTAATCTAGCTTGGCTTTAAGTAAAATTAAAGCGATCATATTATAAAGGTCTTATACTGGTCCATTAATACTAATCATGCAAAGTTTTTAATTCATTTTTATTTTTTTTAACCTCTATAAATACTTTTTCAAGCTTTTTTTTTGGTCGTGATTTTTCGTGACATTGTCATGTATTAAGTCAAGAATAATTATTTCATCTTGAAAAAATGAAAAAATCTTGAAAAAATTCTGCGCAAGGCTGAATAAGCTGAATGTCTCACTTTGTCCAGTTTTCTCGCTTTGGCCCATGATACCCTATCACATTTAAAGTTGCTCAGTTCAAATCTTTATTCAGTTTATCTTCATTTTCTTTATATAGCAACTTCATAGTAAAAGTTATCATTTTAAAGATATTTTGTAGGATAATAAAACTATAGATCATGTTTAAACTTTAGCTTCCTGCCAATTTAAAACACCACAAAATTTGTACTTTCAGCCACTTTAGAAGCATGTAATATTAACTAATTTCGAAACCAAAAAATGGTCTTTTTTGTTTTTCAAAAATAATTTAGAAACAGTTTTCAGTGGATTTTTATCCGGAAAATATCGAATTTTCAGATAATTACAAAAAATATCATAATTTTAATAAGCATTGCATACAAAATGAGTAGTGGGTGGCAGGGCTTTTGAATGCGCTAATTGCATCTGGGTCAAAAATGAAGATGCCTCAATTTCAAACAAAGATATTGCAAAATTTAAAGTTTTGTGAACTCAGCAATTATCTATTTCTGATACAACAATTGTATTTATGCGTTCCTAATAATTCTCTGGATTGAGAAAACGTTCACTAATCAAAACTGACACATGAATCAAAATATTAGTTTTAAAACCAATAACAAAAAGTCAATGAACAAAAAATCTTCAAAAAAAGTAAATAAAACGCTTAAAAATAAATTTTTCAAGATATTCTGGCCACCATATATTAATGACGTTCGTCGTAGCTCACCTATTTAGCCAAACCTCACTTAGCCAAACATCATTTAGCCAAACTTTTTTAAATCAAAATTATCAAAAGATCAGTGGCACAATCCTAGCCCATATTCAAACAGAGAAAGTTTTTTACGGTTATCAGTTTTCTAAATAAATGTTTATCTTTTGCAACTGACACAGGAAGAGTGTTAAAAATGCGGAGCATTATGCGAATGCTTGGAAAAAGGAAATCAAGCTTCTGCTTAAGGTTTTGAATGAGTAGCTGCAGTGGATTTCTTTGCTAAAGAATTGTTTTGCGGGCATTGTTTAAACAACAAACTTCTTTAATGTGATCATCTTTGTTCACATTCTTGGATAAAACTGTGCAAGTTTGCAAGCTTTATTTTGAATGGAAAAGATTATCAATATGTTATTCCTGAAATATGTTATTCTGGTTGAATAAATAAAAACATATACAATATGTTTTCATTCATTCAACCAGATGAATAAAAACGTGTTGCTAACCATCCAGCTTGTCACAAAGCTTGATTTAACCTGCTGAATCAGACTATCTAAATCAACAATAAAAAAAGTTCACTTCTAATTCGTTCACTTGGCTGTCGTGGAAATGGACTGTGTTTGATGTCTCACAATGAAAGCGCTTCGGTTTACTCTTTATTTCAGCATCTAGTTCAGTTTCGAATCCTAGCTTTCCAGCTACAGCTATTGTCTCTTAGAAAATTTTCAACCATGAGCCGCAAAACCGTTTGAAATTTTCCAGCAGCTGTCCAATCAAACGTATCTCGTTATCAATGGTAATGGCTTCAGATTGTGCAAGACGACTAACATCGTTAACAGCAGTAAGGGTTTTGTACCCAATTGTAATTAGCAATACAAATTCAAAAGATGATAAGAATTTTTTAAGGTTCTTGCCTGACTGAGCTGCTCACTTGTCAGATCCAGATTATCCACGGCAAGTTTAAGAGCTCCCAACAATTCTTTCGGCCTCTTGGAAAGTAATTTGAAACTGTCGATACGAGATCTCCATCTAGTCATAGAAAGTCTATGCAATAAAATTTCTGTTGCGTCAGTAGGGATTAAAAAGTATAGACAAAGATTCGACATTTCCAATGAGTATTTTGATCTATAATATATATATATATATATATATATATATATATATATATATATATATATATATATATATATATATATATATATATATATATACATATATATATATATATACATATATATATATATATATATATATATATATTATATATTATATATTATATATATATATATATATATATATATATATATATATATATATATATATATATATATATATCTATATATGTATATATGTATATATATATATATATATATATATATATATATATATATATATATATATATATATATATATATATATATATATATATATCATACCATAATTAACTGCGTTCTCACTAGCCAATTAAGACACTGAGCGCCACAAGGAACGTACAGAGTTTCCGAATAATTTTACCCTATTAAGACTTGAGTTCTCTTGTAAGCACCTGACATATTCGATGCATCATCGCATCCCTGATAGCATTTTTTTTCTTCTAGTATTTGAGATAAATAACAACCAGATATGGAATAAACTCCAAACATTTATAATTATGTTTAAGGTGGTAGACTGCTAAAAAAGTTAGAAAAAAACGATTTTTCAAAAGTGGCATTGTTTTAAACAGTAACTGATGTAGAGTCAAAAATATATAGATCTTCGTATGAGAAAAAAAATTTAGAACTAATAAAAGTGATTTATATTAGTATGGGTAATTTTGTTTCCCCTTGCAACACTCATAGCAACCGCTAGTTAAGGTTAGTAATAAAAAAAAAATTAAAAAACAAAGAAAAAATTTTAAAGCAACTAGGAAAGGGTTTGATAAAAAATACAAAAATTAAGAAGAGCAGTATATAAAAAAGGGGGATTTTAATAAGTTTGTATATTCAATATTTTTAATTTTATATGCTTTTTTCTTTGCTTTATTCTTCTAATTTTCTGGCAAAAATTGCAGGAGCTGTAATTGTCCAATTGACTTAAAATTTTGTACATAGATTCATTATAATAAGCTTTATGTCCTGAGATAAAAAAAATTCAGAATATAAACTTTTAAAACAACAAACTTTTTGTTCTTAATATCAGAAATTAGATGATTAATTGGGCGCTTTGAAAAATCTAACGATACTTTAAAATAAAGAAATTTTCAACAAAAATTTTTATCTCAGGACATTTATCTACATAAAACAAATAAAAATACAAAAAATTAGAACTTAATAAATTATACTTTTTGAGATATCTTTGCCAAGATTTTAGCCTGTTTTTGGCCTAAAATCACCTGTTTTAGCCCAAAATATATATGAAAAAAAAAAAAAAAAATTAAAAATTATGAATTTTCTAATGTATTTATCATGTTCGAAGTAAAAAAATTTAATTTTTTTAGCAGTCTACCACCTTAATAAGAATGCTTTGTGAAATAAATTGCGGTTATTGGAGACTGGGAACCAAACAACCCTAAAATTTCACTACACTGCCCTAAACGTGAGAAAAACAAGCTGATAATTTTTTTTTTTTTAAACTATTTTCTAACTAAAGTTTTATTCATCAATAAATTTTAAATTTTATAGTATAATTTATCAGCGTTCAAAAAAAATGACCCATCCAATTTGAGGGGGTTACAAGTATTTAGGTCACAAATATATTATATTTGGTGTTTAGACCATGTCAGAAAGTTATTTCAAACACCAAAAAACGTTGAACCTGCCCCTGATATAAATAATAATGATAACAATAATATTATTATTAGTATTATTATATGAAATAACATAGATTGAATATTAATGATTTTTCAAAGCTTTTTCAAGAATAAAACTTTTAAGTATCATGAAGTTTTAGTGATTCGAGTGATCGAGTCTTCGTTCGTTTACGTATTAATTTCTATCATACCTATCTACATATCATACATATACCTATCTACATATCATACATATCTATACGTATTAATTTCTATCAAGATACACGTTTTTTTATTTTATAAGAAACTTATTTATAAAAAACTAGCACTAGAAGCCCAAAAATCGAATGCAACCTTAGTGTCAATTTACTTTTTAATAATAAATTTTTTAAAATTAACTTTCCATCTACTTATCGCATCAACACAAAACGAAGTTAAAAAGATTAGTTTAATTTTAATTTAAATAAATAATTAATTTGTACGCAAAACCAAACGGAATCCAATTTGATTACTCGTAGATATGATGGAATTTCTTTCGATTACAATTGAAAATACGTAACAAACCTAAAAAGCTTTCAAAAAACCTTTTAAACAAGATTGGAATAATAACTTTTAAAATAAGAAACTTTTCAGTACTAAAAAAAAATTTATAGTACGAAGTAAAATAGTAAAAATTATTTTCACTATTGATTAACTTACAATAAAACTTATCTAAACATTAATTAAATAAAAAAATAGGACTTGGAAACCCTTGATCTTTGGGGCTATAGGCCAATGCCTAACTTGGCATTGGTTAGTCAAATAGTGTACTAATGCATTTGTTTGGTTTCTTATAAATAAAAAAACGTGTCACGATAAATTTTTAAATTTAACCTAATTGGAATTTTTTTTCTGCAAAAAAGTTGTAAATAAAAACCTTGACTTGAGACTTCAAATTTGATTGGATCCTTCTAAAATGCACTTAACAAACATACATAAATACATAAAAAATACAAACGAAAAGAAACTATTGGATTTACTTCTTCAGCATGAAATAAATGTTTGAAAACGTCTAAATTTATTTCTTTTGTATTTACTGTATCTTGTATTCTTGACTTCATTATAAGTTGGTAAAAAGTTTTTAAAATCTAATAGGAAAAAAAAAAAAAAAAAATTAAATATATATAACTATATACATGCGGTAACTGACAAGCAAGAAATAGAAATTAAAAATTAATTATAGAATATAATTTTTAAGTTATATATAAACTTTATTATTATTTCATATAAATTTTTAAATGGAAAAAAAATTTAGTTTTCCATAGTTTTGATCAAACTGCTGCATAAAATGTTTGTGCAGATTTTTTTTTTATTATTAGTTGTATTATAATTTGTATTTAAAATAAGTTTTTTAACATGCTATTATTAATGTAAATAATGACTAGGGATAGCGAACCCTTATAATAAAGGGTTTTGATAATTTCTCCGATATTAATAATTTTTTTTTAATTTTTAATTAGAGTTACTGAAATTAAAGTTATGGTTACAAAGCCATAGGTAGGTTTTTTTTTCTTGTTACAATCTCATTGGTAGTTATTTCTTTTTTGTTACAATGTCATTGGTAGATATTTTTAACCTTCTTTTTCTTCGTTGTCTTTCCAACAGAATAATATCTTAACAATATCAGAAGTAGAACGGGGTTTAGGAGTAATGATGCAATCTAATTTAAAATGGAAATGTCTCTTTGATAAAGCTGGAGAAAAATCAAATCAAATGCTCGCTCTTATTAAACGAACTTTTGAATATTTTGATTCAAATATATTAAAAAAGTTATTTACAACTTATTTACTTTTGTAAGACCACATCTTCAGTTTGCTATTCAAACATGGTGTCCTTATCTGAAACAAGATATTTTAAAGTTAGAAAAAGTGTAAAGAAGAGCTACAAAACTATTACCAGCTTTAAAAAAAAAATGAAAGAAGATTACAGTTAGAAAAATTAAAAACACTAGAAGAGCGTCATTTACGAGATTTAATTTTTCAATAAAAAATACAAAAAGAATAAGAGGAGACTAATTGGATAAACAAGTCAATATGTAAAACAACTCAATATGTAAAGCTCAATTAAAACATTACAATTTTTGTGGTCATAATGAAAAGTTAACGAAGGCATACTGTAAGAGTAATACTAGATTTAGTTTCTTTTATTGTAGAGTTGTAGAAATTTGAAACGGTTTACCGCCATATATTACATAATCAATAACAGTTGATCAATTTAAAAATAAAAATAAAAATTTCAACATACTTCCTATAAAACTTTAGTAGTATGTTTAGACTTGCTGCATCAACATATTAAAGAGTCAATTTAAAAAGTACAAAAATATCCTTATAGTCATAAGAATTTATTTTGTCTTTAATAAAGAAATCTAGTACTACAAAAAAAAAAAAAAAAAATGGTTTAAATAATTTCGACAAAAACTATTTTGATTTAAACCCTTTTACGTAATTTTATATGAAATATAAAATTTGATTTGTCTTCGTATTCAATCTTTCGAAAAATTAACCCCTGATCTTCTAATTATTATTGTAATAAGTTGAGAATTTAATTAACAAAATTTGTGGATAATATTACTTAAATGAAGTATTTAAGGATTCCCAGATCTCAGTGTTTTTCTTTAAATAGAGCAATATAAATAAATAAACTTATGAGTTTGAACCTTTTAAAACTCATCTGTCCAAAAACCGAGAATTAATTTTTTTTTTGATTTCCATTATCATAAAGTTATAATTTTGTTTTCGAAGTTTGCGCTCACAATTTTTTCAGTATTCCTGAAATTAATAATTTAAACAAATATATTTAAGTGCTATTATAAAAAGTGCTTCAACTTTGCAATAATTTAAAAATTTATTGAAAATGTTGTTGAATCTATTATATTTTTCATGCACCTTTTAATTAGAATCAGTAACTTTCAATCAGTAATTTCAAATTCTGACCCTTCTCTATCACCTCAAAATTTTCATCGAGGACCCTTCTTAAAGATAAAATCCACGTAACATTGGTAAGAAAAAAAAAAGATCTTTATAACCTCCGCGGGTCACTTTTAGATGGCCCCGCCTTCCAGTGTTTTGCTCCCGCTTATTACGTCACTACACTCAGCAATTTAGAAGCGAAAAACATCTACAGCTCAACACATACGCGTACAAATAGTATTACCATTTTTATTTAAAAAAAACATACCACTTAATTTCAACAGAAAGGATTTTTACTTGTGATAACATAAAAAATGGATTAAGAAAAATCGGAAAAACCAAGAACGCAGACCAAGAGATAGGAATGTGCAAATATAAAAAGTAAAGCGACTATTAGTTGATTTAGATAACGCTAGGTTAATACTCTATTTATTTCTATTAGGAATGAGTTTAAAGTTTTCATTTAAACTACACTGGTCTGGATTAAATTTATATTATAGACATGTTGGAAGCTTAAACTGATGCTTATTATTAGGAGATATCATTGAACTCTTGAAATAATTACCAATTTGTTGACAAGTTTCCAAATGATTAATGAGTATTTTTTTACTTACCTGACATAAAATATTTTTAATTTAAATAGTCATATTTGTCAACGATATCTAGATAATGAATAGGCCTTAAGAATGAATTTAATATTTCTTCAAACATGACTGTTTAATAAATAAAAAATTTTACTTTTCATTTTATTAAAATTTAAATCAAGATTGCTATTGTTACATATACTTATTAACAACTCCGAAGCAACAATCTCAGAGTTTACAACTCCAAAGTAACAATTTCAGAGCTCAATTACAACTCCGAAGCATTAAAAAATCTTAGAGCTCATTTACAAATCCGAAGCGTTCAACAATCTCAGAGTTTACAACTCCGAAGCAACGTTCAACAATCTCAGAGTTAAAAGGCGTATCAAGCTTATTTTGGAGTAAAATTAGGAGATCAAGACAAGCATTGGGCTCCTCATTCAGTTTTTAGACCATGTGTTGAAAATCTGACGGTTAAAGAGAAAAAGAAAAGAATTAAGTTTTGGTATTCCAATAACTTGAAGAGAACCGATAGACCACAATAGTGATTGTTATTTTTGTTTGAACCAGGTTGCTGAACATAGTTCAAAAACAAGAATATCTATTAAATATACAAATTTATCCTCTACCAAATGATCTTTAGATCCATTAGATAAAATTTTCTCATTTAGATCAGATTGCCATCATTTTGTTACTCTTTCGTTAACTGATAGTTAGTGAGCAAACCAAAGAAATTTTTACATTTTCAAGATCCTCTGATTCTGAGTACATCTGAGAACTCTGATCCTGAGTACATCTCGAAAGAATCTCTACAGTTGTTTTCTCAATGCAAGCTCAACGATTAGGTCAGCAACTAAGATCTCTCAAAGAAAGCAGCTAAGTTGTTAGGTTTAAGGTTATCTGAAAAACAACATTCTGGCTAAATTAACAAATTTTATATTTGATAAGTCGAGAGAAAAAATTATTTCAAAAAAAAATTGAGATCAAGATTATTTTGCGTTTTGTAGTAATATTTGTTATTTTGTGTTCTGTAGTGATATTTGTTACTTTGTGTTCTGCATTGATATTTGTTATTTTGTGTTCTGTAGTGATATTTATTCTCTGATTCAGAAAAGGGGCCATAGCTATAACTCACTTGACTGGACACTGAAGACTAGAGACTTTTTATTAAAAGCTTCAAAAGAAGTTTCAAATGTGTCCTGCTTCACAATAGCAACAAATTAGTTTGTATTCCCATTGAATATTCAATAAAAATGAAAAAAAAACATAAAGAAGAAATTAGAGAAAATCAATCGCAACGAGTTTAATTGAATCATTTGCTGTAATATTAAAATAATGTGCCTTCTAATTGACCAAGAATTCAAATGAACCAAATTTCCATATTTTTTTTGTTTGTGGAGCAGTGAATCTATAGACAGTTACTAGATCCGAAAAGATTGGCTCCAGAGAAATAAATTTTCAGAATATAAACACACTATTTTCAACTCACCTTTAATAGAACCCCAGAAAATTGTTCTTCAATCTTTGCATACAGAGCTTGGATTAATGAAACAATTTGTGAAGGTATTAGATTGAGGTTGAAGATTGTTTCAAGTAGTTAAAGGTTGTTTCTAGCATACACAAGGGAAAATAGAAGTAGGAGTATTTAACGGCCCTCAAATTTGTAAACTACTTAAAGATCAAAATTTTATAACAAAAATGAAACCTGATGGTTTGACGCATGGAATTTTTTTGGAAGTGTTGTATCTAATTGTTTTGGTAATTGTAAATCTAAAAACTATAAAGTATGATTAAGAAGCTGCTGATCAGCTATAGAAAACCTGGGTGCAACATGAGTGTAAAATTTAGCTTCCTTTACAGTCACCTTCACCATTTCCCAGAAAATATTTGAGCTCTAAACTAGGAACAAGGTGAGTGCTTTCATTAAGATATTAACACCATTGAAAATTGTTACCAATGACGATGGAGCACTAATATGATGGCTGACTACTGCTAGTCTTTAAAGAGTGTTGTTCAGGTTATCAAATATGCTCAAAAATCAAAAAAACCTAGTTTTTTTTCTGCTTGAATGTGCTTTATTCTTTAAATTAGAACTTACTGATGTTTGCCTAACATATAGCTTTGTATAAAAAAAGTTTTTCTATCTTTTTTTTTAATGTTGTGAAGGAGGAACCTTCTTAACAACATTAAAAAAAAAAAAACTACCACCCGTGGCAGTTTCCTCAGTGTTCCCCTCCCTATCGATCTGCGCCTAAAATATATGCGATAAACTAATAAAATCTTGTAAAAACTAGACGTCCAATGAAATAGGAATTGTTATTTTTTGCTTTAGCATTGTCGAATAATATATTTAAAAAATCTTAATTTTAAAAAGAAAAGGGTAACTTTATACAACTTGTTGTCTTTTTGCTCTCTTTTAGTTTTTTTTTTCTATTATTTAAACATATTCTAAGTTAATATTATTTACAAATATAAAAGTTGACAAATTGACAAATTTAGATGCCAAAATATTATATATAAATAGCATAATTTATATGGAATATAGTTATTATTTTTTGAAATATAAATTTTTAAATTTTTTGTTTTTTAAAACGGCAACTAATATATTAGTTGTATTATATATTAGTATAATATATTAGTTGTAGACCCTAACCCTAACGTTGTATATATACAACGTGCTGTTAACAAAAAAAAAAAAAGTTAATTTTTATCATATTCTAAAAATTACTTTTACCCTTCACCTAAAAGCTACTTTTACCCTTCACCTTTAAGCTAATTTTACTCTTAACATAAAAACGGCTTTTATCTTTCGCCTAAAAACTACTTTTACCCTTCACATAAAAGGTACTTTTACCCGTCACCTAAAAGGTACTTTTACCCTTCACCTAAAAGGCACTTTTACCCTTCACATAAAAGCTACTTTTAACCTTCACATAAAGCTACTTTTACCTTTAACATGATAACTAGGGTAAAGCGGGGCATATCGGGACAATGAGGCATAACGGGACAGTTATGCCTGAAGTCTTGTATCTCTGCTAAAAGTTATTTTTTTTCCAAATCTTTTTTTAATAAAAAATTTTAAATTACTGTCCTTAATTATTGTAAAAAAAATTTAATTTCAGAAATATCAAAATGCATTAAAATACACCAAAATGCATCAGTAAGTTTGCGAAAAACAAAATTTGCCTATTTTCTTAAGCGATAGAACGACAAAAGATTTATCTTGAACTATTTCGAACTTGCCTTATTTATAAAAGTTTTATATTTTTCAGACAGTATTTTGTATCCTCTTTTAGAATCTGGTTTTAAAAAAATATTTGGAATTGAACTTTTTGAATAGTATTAATTTCAGTAAAATGACTTTTGTGGGGCATACAACTGTGGGGGCGTCTGAACAACAAGCTATTTATATAATTAGATATATTGCTACCATTTGGTGATGCTGTTTACAGTTTAATGATTTTATTTTTAATCTAAAATTTTATTTTTCTAATTTAGAAAAGCAATTTTAGTAATAAATTCAAAAAAATTCTAAATTTTAATAACTTAACTTTTCTTATTAATAGTGTTTAATGTAAACAAAGAAGGTAAGAAATGATTTAAGTAAAATCAATCATGCAAAATGGGATGAAATGGAGTTTTAGCTTCGCGTGAAAGGGAAATTAAAACTAGAAAAGCTGCTGATACATATGGCATATTTAAGTTTGGTCTACATTGGCGTATTGCTAATAAGCCAGCTCATCAAAAATGTTGCAAGGATATTTTTTGTGTGATTTATGTGATCCATAAAATTTTTTGTTTAATTTCAAATTTACTAGTAGTAAACATTTTAATAATAAATAGGTAACAGTAGAGGCAAGGTATTTTATAATAAAACACACATAAAAAAAAATAAATTATTTTAGCTTTTTTTAAAAAAAATAAATTATTTTAGTTTTTTTTTTTTTTGTGGTGTTTGGGTGAAAGGGCGTATAATTTTTATGGGTTATGTATTTTTATTAATGTTACTTTTTTGAGAGCGTAATGTCTGAACATATTTAGACGATAAATAACCTTTATTTTTCATCATTTTTAAAACTCTACAACTGACAAATAACTGCTGCTTTTTAACTGTCCCGTTTTGCCCCACCCACTTAAAAAATGTTAAAGTTCTAGTCTAGAGTTTCGTTACTTTGATTGTCGAAATATAAAATTTTTTTTAATTGTTTTTTTATTTTCTTATATCAATGAATTTTAGGAAATTTATAAAAAAAAGTGTTAACAATGATTAGTTTATCCGTAACTAGATTTTGTTTCTATATGCCCATATATGCCTTAAAAAATATATGCTTTTCCATATAATTATAGTATAATAATTTTTTGGGGGGCCTATGCCTCCCTGGTCCCCCTGGTGGTTACGGCTCTGAGATATAGAATAAAGGTACACAGAGGCTATCTATAAAGGATGTTTGTCACCGGTTTATCTATAAAGGATCTTTGTCACCGGTTGTCCTTTTTCCTAAACCCCCTTGAAAAGGACTTCATAAAAATCATGCCCCCGACCCCTATTTTTAACCTCAAAAAAAATTTATTTCATCTCGCAATGCTGTTTGAATCTGCTGCTACACCTTTGAAAAATAAAATTAAAAATACTCTTATTCATTATCTTCTTAAAAACACATATTTACATAGTTTTCCATGTTAATTAAACTAAAATAAAAAATCTATAATGTGACGTCCTTTTCTAAAAGTCTTCCCCCCTCCCCTTATCCTTTTTTATCCTTTTAATCTCAACCCCTTCCCCCCCCCCATATTTGGATGACGTCCTTTATGGATGGCTCTAAAATGCTTTTTTTAAATTTCTATATATTATTTAACAGTACAGAACGTAACATATGTATGATAAAATACAATATGATGCTAATATAACATATATATGTTAAAATAAAATGCTGATGACCTGCAAATATAATTTGAGTTAACTTGAACACTAATAATTTGAATATACCCATTGGGTACGTATCGTCCGGGGCACGTCCAGACGTACGTAAAACGATGGCGTTTCCTGGGCGACGCATGCCCACTGGGCACTTTAAAAATATAAGATTTAAATATAAATAAAGGAGTTAATAAAAATAAAAATGGCGTATTTGAATATGAGCTTGATACAAAATAGGCTTAGATACGTAGATAGTAAACCTAAATATGAAAATTGTTGACTAAAATATAAATAAAGTGAGGCTAAATAAAAAAATGCTAAAACTAAATACGACTTAATATTAAATAAACGCTTTAGGTTAGATTTAAAGTAAAATATATATATTTTTTTTGTTTTCCATTTTAAACTTTCATTAGCTTTAAATACACAAAACAAGTCATTTTGATAACAGATTTATCAAATGATAGATGTCATTATACCAACTTCCTTTTTTTGCATTAATATAATTCATGGCATTCCATAATTGAACAATATGACAAGAATTTTACTGTCATAGAAAAATACTTAGGAAAATTGCAAGGAATATGAAATGAGCGTTTAAAAACAAATAGGTTATGAACAAAAATAATTAAGTTATTAACAAAAACAACCAAGTTATGAACAAAAATTACTGGAATTGTTAACAACCAAGCTATAAACAAAAAAACCGAGTTATTCACAAATACAGCCAAGTTATAAAAATATTTATATCTTTCTAAACAATTGATTACTTCCTACGACGCTATGATTTAGAAAATATTAGTTATTATTAAAATTAAAAAATAAATAAACATACATTTTTAACACTGTATATCCATTGATCATCTTGAAAGCTAAAATATGTGCTCAAATTAAAAAAAATAATAATATGACACGGGCTCTTCACTTAAAAAATTCCTACAGGTAAAAAGCCTAGTTTTTTAATTAAAAAGCTATGATCAAGTATACTTATAAAATAGTATAGTATGTATACAAAATCAATTCAAACAGAATATTATCAAATACTTTATTTGTTATTAAAATTTATTAAACTTTGTTGTAAAAATGAGATCAATAACTAAACTCACCTATATTCCTGATGTTTAATTACATAGTTCCAATCATTAATTGTAAACAGATTGTTTTCATCCACCCCTAATGTCTTACATCCTTCAAAAAATTTAAAGATTGTCTCCTAAAGATTCAAAAATAAAAAATATTTAGATCATAAAAGTTATTATGCAGATTGTTGACGAATAATTGTAAATGTACACTTTAGTGAATTATTGATTGCAGAACTCACTGATGGTGCGAAAGAAAAAAACGCACTTAAGTACACGAGCCGAACATAGGATAAAGAACATTTAAGAACACGGACGGAGCAATATAAAAAAAAAATAGTAACTAAAAGCTGATTTTGTAAGTGCAAAAAACTATACTGTTTAAAATTGTTACTTGCTGAAAATTTATCGTATATATTTTTAAAATGTACCCTGTGATTCCATATACATATAATTTTGCGAACGAATTTCTTTTTTTTGGAAAATACAAATATTTTTGTAAGCAATCTAGAAAAAAAAAGGTGCACATAAATAAAAAATAGTAAAAAAAAACATTAAAAAAAGAAAAAAAGCTTAATTTTAAAATGTTGTAAACATAAAACATTTTAAAAATTTAGCATTTCTACAATAACTTCAAAATAGGGTCAAAACAAAAAAGATCACACGCACTTGCAAAATTAATCGTATACATAAAATCAAAATACTATACTTATTGAGTATTAATTCATTGCCCAAGCAGTTGAATATATTGTTTTCTACCAGTGTTATTTGCGTAACTAACTAAAAATAAATAACGGAAAAAGTTTAAAACGGTACGTTGTTGAATCTACAACTTCATTGGCTAAGCAAATATTAATAGTAAAAATGTATGCAAATAAATCGATTTAATATTACAACAAAAAAGATTTTTTGTAATGAAATTTAAAAAATGTCATTCTATTATATATAAATTTTATGATGAAATAAACAGATATATCTTCAGAACCTTAGTGGAAACAACCTACAAACAGTTATGAAAAAAGTTTATTGTTTATATTTTTCTTTTTTTTATTAAAACTAATTTGTTTAAATCTAATTAACTAATAATTAAATCAAATTGACTAGTAAATAAATCTTTAGATGAATTTATATACACGCAGGGTCAAACATATTTGTTAGTGGTTTCTAGGAAATATTTTTTTCGTCGGCTTTGATTGGCACCTGAGCAGCAATTAATGTTACTCGTGTACTCGTATATATATATATATATATATATATATATATATATATATATATATATATATATATATATATATATATATATATATATATATATATATATATGTATATATATATATATATATATATATATATATACATATATATATATATATATATATATATATATATATATATATATATATATATATATATATATATATATATATATATATATATATATATATATATATGGAAATATTAACATAATTTCTACAATATATATATATATATATATATATATATATATATATATATATATATATACAGTGGCGACAAAATAAATAGCACACTTTCATAACCAGTTGGTTTTTCTTTTTGGTACCAATATTTTTGTTTTTATTGCAACTTTTTTTTATATATATAGCATCAAAAATGGCATTACTCATTTTATATTTATAACTGTAAAAATTGCTTTTTTGAGGCATTTTAGCGGTCGTGCTTACATTTTTGAGGACATTTTAAATAGCACACATTAGCATTTTATTATAAAAAAAACTAAATTTTTGTAATATATCAAAAGATAATCATTCTATTTAATATTCTAAGTATATTTTTGTATATTTTTAGCAAAAAATAATAAAAAAAATAATTTTCTGTCAATTATGGGACGGGGTAAATATGGAACAGATGTCTTTCCAGGACAAGTACAGGCATATCGAGATCAAGGATTGAACAATTCTCAAATAGTTCGAAGATTTGGTTGTTCTCGTAAGAAAGTTATCAGTGCTATTAAATTATTTAACAATACTGGTTCATTTAGCAACAAAAAACGCAAGTTTCGCGAACGAAAAACAACCCCCAGAGAAGACGCAGCCATTGTTCGTATTGCTAAGCTGAATCCTTTTGCTGGCGCACCAAAAATAAAAGAACAAATTGCTCAAAATCTAAAACTCAATCTGTCTGTCAGCACAGTCAAAAGTCGGTTACGCGAAAATAAGCTGTTTGGAAGAGTTGCTCGAAAAAAACCATTGTTCTCAAAACGTAATCTCGTCAGCCATTTGAAGTTTGCAAAACAGTACGTACAAAAGGACTTGCGTTTTTGGAAAAATGTGCTTTGGACTGACAAGTGTAAGTTCAATCGCTTTAGATCCGAAGGAAAGCAATATGTTTGTTGTCCCCAGAACCAAGAACTCAGCCCTCAGTATACTTTAAAGACCGTTGAACATGGTGGTGGCAAGGTGATTGTTTGGGGTAGTTTTTCATGGAGTGGAGTAGGCCCATTGTATAGAATTCAAGGCACGATGGATCAACATATCTACAAAGAAATACTGGAAAATGTGATGTTGCCATATGCCCAAGAAAATCTCCCTCTAGTTTTGAAATTCCAACAAGACAATGACCCCAAGCACACCGCCAAAAGTATTAAAGTATGGCTTACCGCTAATAAGATTGACGTTTTAGGGTGGCCCGCACATTCACCAGACCTAAATCTAATAGAAAATTTGTGGGAGGAAGTTGATAGAAACATAAACCGTTTAACTGCAACAAATTTAGACCATCTTTGGGTCGAAATAAAAGCTGCTTGGGACGCCATTACGCCTGAACGATGCCAAAACCTGATCTCCTCAATGAGCCGTCGTTGTCAAGCGGTTATTGACTCAAAAGGATACCTCACTAAATATTAATTTTCCTCAAAAAAAGTTTTTTTAACTATTTATACAAAGAACTTCCATGATTTTTGTAGCCAAAGGACAAAATTATAATTTTGTACAGGGTGTGCTATTTAAGTTGCCTTCTTATTCTGTAGTTCTAAATCATATATATATGGTTGTACTTTTTTTTTTTACATAAGCTACTTTCATTTCTTAATCGGTAATGTTATCTTTTATAACTAATATATTATTAGGCTAAAAAAGTTTAGGCCTCAAAAACTTAGATCTCTGGAAAATAAAGCATTACATTTTGGATATCAAACTGTGCTATTTATTTTGTCGCCACTGTATATATATATATATATATATATATATATATATATATATATATATATATATATATATATATATATATATATATATATATATATATATATGTGTGTGTGTGTGTGTGTGTGTGTGTGTGTGTGTGTGTGTGTGTGTGTGTGTGTGTGTGTGTGTGTGTGGTGTCGTCGATTAACAAAAGACACCTGGGCCCTTTGTCAATCCCCCCCCCCCTCTTTTTTTTCTAAAGGACCTTTTTTTTATGTAAAAAAAAATTTCGTCGGCCCTGATATGTGTGTAATACTCAAAAATTAAACAAGTCTAAAACTTAACCAATATCATAAGCATAATACCGTTTTTATAATCACGCTGATTAAATAAATCACTTTCAAATTTATTTATCACTTTCATTACTAATTGTTATTATTGTTACCATTTTAAATTATTAATCTTATTTTTATTAACACAAGATTTAATTACGAAGTATTTGTGACTTCTTTTATTTACATAAACTTTTGTCGTTTTAGGTTTTGAAAAATAGAAAAAAGTGTTAGATTATAAAAATAAAATACGCATCGAGAAACATAAAAATGAAAAAATGTCAGGCCATAAAAGAAAAAACGAATCGAGACACATAAAGATAAAAAAATATCAGACTATAAATTAAATAAAACAAAAAACAAAATACGAATCGAAACACATAAAGATGAAAAATTGTTAGACTATAACAGAAAATTTAATCAAGCCATATAAAAATGAAAAATTATCAGACTACAAAAGAAAATATTAATCAATACACATAAAGATGAAAAAATGTCTCTAAAAGAAAACAAGACACATAAAGAGATTTATGAGCAATCCTAGATTCCACACCCAATGTTTTTACTGCATTTTAAATAAATTAGTTTCAGAAATTAAAAAATAATAAAAACCATATTCCAAAATGTATGAACAAATCGATTTCCTTGTTAATTGTAGCACATTCACTTAAAAAATTTTGTTCTAAACTATCTATCTTTACTGTGAAAAATAAAAATAATTAAAAAAAAAAACCCTGGAATGGCTAAAACGGACTTTAAAAAAAATTTTTTTAAAGAAATTTTATGCAGAAGAGAAAAGTTATTTAAAATAACAGACAAAATAATGTTCATCACACAAAATATATTTTAAACAGTTTTAAAATATATATAATAATCATCAATCAATCGAGGTTGCAAACAAATTTATTAATAAATGTCGCTTTATTAATAAATTTATTTGCAATTTCGGCCAAATCAATTTGATTAACTTTTTTCTTTTGCGCATAGTACTAGCAAGTTTTGTAAGACGGAAATCTGTTGTTTTTTTTCAACCAAATATAGGTTTCAACTCTTTTCAAAGTGCAGAATGACTACTCACTAAGAAAATTAGTAGCTGGCATTACGAGAACTAACTTTGCATTCTTTATAAATTTGTAAAGAAAACGTTTTTGAAGTAGTACAAACTCTTGAGGAACTAGAGGAATCTTGTGTAGTGAGCTTTTTAGTGTTTTATTCGAGTGATGTTTGGCACAAAGTTTGTGCAATAAATTAGTTAGTGTCTTGACTGAAAAAGCAACAAGTTTATTGCCGAGGATTTTTGCATTTTTTCTTTTTTATCTTGTTTTATTTTATTTCAAATGTTGTAGCGTAGATTGTGGGGAAAGGAAGAGAGGAAATTTTTAAATGAATGAAGCAATATTGGATCCAGGATTTTAGTTTAATGTATATTTAAATAGTTTAATTTTTAGACTATTAAACAAACAGTTTTTAGACTAAGTTAAACTGTTTAATTTTTAAACTACTGTATTGGATTAAAATAACCAACCATACGTAAAACGGAAATTAAACCATTCAAAATTCTTCTTTTTTTATGAAAAAAATAAGCAATTTTTTAAAATTATACCCAGCTAGTACATCTACTTTGATAAAACGTTAGAACAATGTTGCACGTTGCGCTGGCTCAACATCGACCACCAACGTTGTTTTTATATCATTTTAATTACAAATGTAACAAACCTACGTTGGCCCAACGTTGTACTTTATTTCGGCTTTGCGTAATACTATAAGTTGAATCAACGTTGCATTTTACGTTCGTAAAACATTGTGTTTTAAGTTGATTCAATTTTATATTCTACATTTGCACAACGTTATATTTAACTTTTATTAATTAAATTTGTTTGTTTTATATTTTAATATAAGTTTATATATATTATATATATATATATATATATATATATATATATATATATATATATATATATATATATATATATATATATATATATATATATATATATATATATATATATATATATATATATATATATATATATATATATATATATATATATATATATATTATATATATATATATATATATATATATATATATATATATATATATATATATATATACCCGACGGGCATTTGTTTTTAAAAGTTACGATCTAAATGTCTTTTAAATGTCTTTTAAACGTCTTTTAAACATTAATGTTTAAAAGACGTTTAAAAGACATTTAAAACACATTTAGAACGTAACTTTTAAAAACAAATGCCCGTCGGGTATATATATATATATATATAT